TTTGGAAACAGATGCCAACCCAGCAACTACAACTCCCAAATGTCAATGTAGAGTTTCCTCAAACTCCACCACTGTTCACATTTGGGCATATTGAGTATTTGTGCCAAAGAACATCAGAAAAAATAGTATTTTTTGTTAGTTCATGGGGGTTCTGTGTGGGAAGTTTGGTCCAATTCTATCGTTGATGGGGTTCAAAATGCTCTTTGATTGTAGGTGAACTATAAATCCCAGCAACTACAACTCCCAAATGTTAAGATCTATTTCCCCCAAACTTCACCAGTGTTCACATTTGGGTATATTGAGTATTCATGCCAAGTTTGGTCCAGATCCATCATTGTTTGACTCCACAATGCTCTCTGGATGTAGGCAAACTACAACTCCAAAACTCAAGGTCAACGCCCATCAAAGCCTTCCAGTATTTTCTGTTGGTCATTGGAGTTCTGTGTGACAAGTTTGGTTCAATTCCATCATTGGTGAAGCTCAGAATGCTTTTTGATTGTAATTTAATTATAAATCCCAGAAACTACAACTCCCATCTGACAAAATCAATTCTCTCCGCAACCCCACCAGTATTCAAATTTGGGTGTATCAGGTATTTGTGCCAAATTTGGTCCAGTGAATGAAAATACATCCTGCATATCAGATATTTACATTACGATTCATAACAGTAGCAAAATTGCAGTTATAAAGTAGCAACGAAAATAATATTATGGTTGGGGGTCACCACAACACAAGGAACTGTATTAAGGGGTCACAGCATTAGGAAGGCTGAGAAACAGTGATCTAAACCAAACAGTACTACAAAATAGCAATCAATTTTAAAAAACCAAAATATTAAAATCAGGTTATTTAGTGCATTGCTGGTAATTTAATACTCTGTATGTATTTTTCAGCCTGCCATATATTTTTCATTTTGATGCTGCTTTAGTGACCTCAGAGAACAAGGTAACACAGTCAAGGCTGTGCCTTATGTATGTTAGATCAGTTTCCACTGGCATGGCTTGCACATAAATTAACCAAAACTGTTCAGGTGGCATACAAAGACAGCACATTCTGTCCAGCAGGTTTTTCGTCAATGCTGCAAGCTTAGCCAACTGCATTTACATGGGAATCAGTTATCCAAGACCAAAGCAGCTTACTTCCAACTACGAAAGTTATTTTCAAGTTGGTTAGCTGTACTTCTGTAAAATGTTATGGAAACATTTAATCCAAATATGTATTTCAAGACAATTTTCGGTGTCTATTAAGTACAACTAAAGTCAAACTACCTTGAGTCCAAGGTTTGATGAATTCCCTTGTAAATACAGACATGTGCATGGAGTGTAAAGTCAGGGCCCTTCCACACAGCCATATAACTCAGAATATTAAGACAAAAATCCAACAATATCTGCTTTGAACTGGGTTATCTGAGTCTACACTGCCACATATGTGGGATTTTATTCAGATGTGTGGAAGGGGCCTCAATGGAATTTAGTTTTGAGTTGACATGGGTATCAAAGCAGCCTTCAAAACAATTTTAAATGTTCCAATTGCCTATTTCAATACATAATTAAGACCTATGGAGAAAATATTCAGCATTTACTATAGTACATTTCCATCAGCATTTTATAAATCTGAAACAGAGTTAACTTTGTTTTTCCTAACAGGGACCATGGCAAAATATAAATATATGTCAGAGCCCCCAGTGGTGCAGTGGGTTAAACCCCTGTGCCGGCAGGACTGAAGACCGACAGGTCGCAGGTTTGAATCTGGGGAGAGGCGGATGAGCTCCCTCTATCAGCTCCAGCTCCTCATACGGGGACATGAGAGAAGCCTCCCACAAGGATGATAAAAACATCAAATCATCCGGGCATCCCCTGGGCAACATCCTTGCAGACAGCCAATTCTCTCATACCAGAAGCGACTTGCAGTTTCTCAAGTCGCTTCTGATACAACAACAAAAATGCCTTTTTAAGCTACTTTTACATTTATATTTATATTTTAATTTCACAGTACTTATTGCTATTGCACTTCATGAGGCCTGATTGTTTACCCTCCCCATAGAGTTTATTTTATATGTGTTTTTAATTATTATTCATTTGTTATTTTATTGTGCTGTGTTTTTATTATTGTATATGACATCAGATATTTGCCTTTGTATTGGAAGCAGTCCCGAGTCCCTCCAGGGAAACAGAGTGGGTTAGAAATAAATTATTATTATCATTAATGAATAATGGTGGCATAAGTTTGGGTAAATTTTAGCAAGCGGCATCCGAGGAGAGAGTAGATGAGCTCCCTCTGTCAGCTCCAGCTCCCCCATGTGGAGACGTTAGAGAAGCCTCCCACAAGATGGTAAAACATCAAAACACCTGGGCATCCTGTAGGCAACATCCTTGCAGACGGTCAATTCTCTCACACCAGAAGCAACTTGCAGTTTCTGCAGTTTTTCGCTCTTGACACAAAAAAAGCAAGCAGCATGACAGAAAGCATGTCACAGCAACAACAACAAAAAGCCCCCACATAGGTTCATAGTGAAAAATCTTTTGTATTGATCATCAATGCCTGAACTAGATTTCATTAAATATGAGGCTGCAACTGCAAATGTTCACAACAGAATCAAGCCAAAACAAAAACCAGTCTTTTACAGAATATGCTGTTGACCACCTAAAAGAAAAGGGTCAAGCCTGAATTCTCCCAAGGATCCAAGAGGACGAAACTGAGATCATCGTACTTTGGTAATGAGGAGAAATAACTCCTTAGGGAAAGCACATAGTAAGATGGGAGGTCAGAGCCCCTGGTGGTGCAGCGGGTTAAACCACTGAGCTGCTGAACTTGAATCTGGGGAGCGGAGTGAGCTCCTGCTGTTAGCCCTAGCTTCTGCCAACCTAGCAGTTCAAACACATGCAAATGTGAGTACGAGGGTTGAATGAAAAGTAATGCCTCCACCTTCATAACACCTCAACAGATGGCAGTACTGGTATGCGGCAGGTACTGGCTTGTTCAGTAGACTCTCCTCTACAGTTCCATTATGGCAGGAAGCCATAGCATTGAACGGTTGTGTTGTTAAAATGTGAAGTATGGAACCCTGCGCAGATGGTCGGTCAATGCGACTTAAGCAACGTGCAGTCACTGAATTCTTCACAGCAGAAGGTGTCGCCCCAAAGGAGATTAATCACAGAATGCAAACCGTTTATGGTGATTTTGTTGATGTGAGTACTGTGCGTCGTTGGGCGAGTAAGATGTTGAAGTGACACCTTTTGCTGTCAATAATTCAATGATTGCACATTGCTTAAATCGCATTGACCGACCGTCTGTGCAGGGTTCCATACTTTACCCTTTAACAACACAACAATTCAAGCTTTTGAAGCTTCAAAGACTTTATTCAAAATAGTGGAACAACACTCATAATAGATTTATCTGGCGTATGAAAAACAAGAATCGCAGAAGACAAACTGGGAAAGATAAAAAGAAGACAAACATCTCGAAAACATCTTTCTTTGGAGGACAATGGGTAGCCACACACTCACTGCTGTTTCTCCCTATTTTCTTCACCCCCTTTTTTGCTTTCTTTTCTCTTCTTACCTCCTCCTCTTTCCATTCCCTCTCTTATCTCTCCACTCCCCCTCCCATCTATTTTCTCTCATCATCCTATTTCAATACCTCATTCATTTTTGTTGTAATTATCACTCATAACACAATAAAAATTTAATATATAAAAAACCCAACACAACCGTTCAATGCTAATGCTTCCCACCAAAATGGAACTGTAGAGGAGAGTCTATTGAACAAGCCAGTACCTGCAGCATACCAGTACTGCTATCTGTTGACGAGTTACGAAGGTGGAGGCATTACTTTTCATTCAACCCCCGTAGATCAATAGGTGGGAAGGTAATGGCACTCCATGCAGTCATGCTGGCCACATGACCTTGGAGGTGTCTACAGACAATGCTGGCTCTTCAGCTTAGAAATGGAGATGATTACCACCTCCCAGAGTTGGTCACGACTTAGACTAGATGGGAGGTCAGCAGGAAAGAGGAAGACCACATTCCAGGAGGATAGACTCAACCAAGGAAGCCGCATTGGTCCTGAGTCTGGAAGACCTGCACAGGCTGATAGATTGACTTGGAGGACTTTCATTCATGGGGTCACTATTAATCAAGGTTGATTTGATAGCAGAGAGCAAAATTAACATAAAAAATACACCAAGTCCAGCAACAGGCATCATCTTACCTATCTGTACACTAAACATAACCGAAATCTACATCTATTTGAATGAGTAGAGCCAAAAAAGTATACAGGTAGACGACAAAGGGAGCATCTACATCAGGCATGGGTAACTTGGTCCCTCCAGGTGTTTTGGACTCCAACTCCCACCATTCCTAACAGCCTCAGGCCCCTTCCTTTTCCCTCTCAGCCGCTTAAGCGGCTGAGGGGGAAAAGGAAGGGGCCTGAGGCTGTTAGGAATGATGGGAGTTGGAGTCCAAAACACCTGGAGGCCCCAAGTATACCCATGTCTGCTTTAAAGGGCACTTCCCTTCCCTTCATTTCCTCAGATAAGATGGAAGAAAGGAAAGAGTGGGAGGTGGATTCCTGAAGCAGGAAAACGGGGGAGAGAGGGGGGGTCCTTGTTTACTTCCAGCGATTAGCAAAACAGGCAAGAAATTTTACTGGATTCCAGGGGGGAAAAGCCTCTAAAAGGGTGTGAAAGGAACTTAAAATAAGAGTTTTGGGGAAAGGTTTTTGCCAAACTACAATGCAGATGCACCCCAATTCATGGGAAAGCAGTTGCAGGTACTCAGAAGGTAAGAAAGGGATGGGAAAGGAAGGCTGGGAGAAGGAAAGAGGAAGTTTAGACGGCGATTCAACCCACTCTTCCTTCTTTCCTTCCTGGAGTTGAAGAAAACACCCCAAAGAAGGGGAGGCAGAAGAGCTCTTTCCTCCTATTGTCTATCCAAACCCGGTCTGTATTTTCTCCCCAGCTCACATAGTTAAAGGAACTTTTCCTCCTCCAAGTAACTCACCGGAGGTGGTGCTCATGATGCCTGCCTCCAGCCCCGGAGACCCCGATTTTTAAGACATAGCGCGGAGTTTAAGCGAAGTCTGCACAGTCCCTCCGTGAGCCTCTTGCCGTCTAACATTCCCACCGGGAGAAGGGCGCTCCAATGCCTCCGCCTGCCTGCCTGGGCAATCCTGCAAAACAGCGCCCTCTACAGACCAAGTCCTGAACGCACCCTCTCTGCGAGGACGGAGCTGATTGGACGGCTTCGAGGCAGCGCTCCAATCAGCTCCCTCTCCGCTTGCAGAACAGCGTCCCCTACAGGCCACGGAGTGAACACACCCTCTCCAATCAACTCAACCCACTTTCTCCCTCCCTTCCCTGCCGCCCCCGCAATGGCTCTTGGGAGGTGTAGTTCCCGTGCGCAGGCGTCCCAGGCCTGAGAGGGGGCCTGATTTAGAAGTCGCGGCTCTGGTCGGACTCGGTTTCCCATCGTGCCTCGGGAGAGCGGCGCGGATGGCGGAGAAGGATGACACCGGAGTTTGACGACGAAGTGGTGTTTGAGGTGGGCGAAGGAAGGGGCTTTTGGGGCTCTCCGTGGCGGCCTCGGGAGAAGGAAGGGGCGGCGGGGAAGATTGAGCCGCCTCTCCCGGGCGGGGAAGAGAAGGGAAGGGCCTGCTCGCAGCCCCAGGGAGGCGGGAAGAGACAAAAGGCCGGGAGGACGGGCCCCTCCGCCTCAGGAGCTCGCCCTCCTTGTGTGTGGGGGGGGGGGGGATCCATGCAGGCTAGAAACTAGGCCTGGTCAAACTTGGGCCCTCTGGTTGTTTTGGACTTCAACTCCCATCATTCCTAACAGCCTCAGGCCCTTTCCTGGAAAGGAAGGGGCCTGAGCTGTTAGGAATGATGGGAGTTGAAGTCCAAAACACCTGGAGGGCCCAAGTTTGACCAGGCCTGGTATAAATGAACATTATCATAATATCCATAAGCATGGTGTACATTGAGCCATCAGCAAGCAAAAGCCTCACAACATCAGCCATCCAGGTGGAAGGTTTTGGAATCCCAGATAAAGGATACTAAACATCTTTTCCTAAGAATACGCACATGAAGTTGAAGTATTCTGCTTTCTGCAAGTCTTCTATATAACTAAAAATGTAATGTTCGTTTGTGGGGTTAACGTAACTCAAAAACCACTGGTCGAATTGAGACCAAATTTGGACACAAGACACCTCTCAGGCCAATGAGTGACCATCACTCATAGTAACACTGAAAAACACAGCAGAAGGGATTTAAAAAGCCAAAAAATTAAAATTTACATTACAACGCATGCACAAAACTACATACATGCACAACACACATATATATACACACACAAAACACATACACAGAAAGGGAGAAGGAAGAAGGAGGGAGAGAAGGAGGGGAGAGAAAGAAGGAAAGAAAAAAGGGTAGAGAAGGAAGGAAATAGAGAAGGGTAGAGAAGGAGGGAGAGAAGAGAAAGAAGAAGAGAAGGAAGGAAAGAAAGAAGGCTAAAGAAGGAAATAAAAAAGTGAAAGAGGGAAGGAAGGAGAGAAGGAACAAAAGAGAAAGGGAGGAAAGGAAGGAAAGAGACAAGGAAGGATGGAACCAAAGTGCAAAGGAAGCGAGAAAAGAAACAGGTAGAGAAGGAAGAAAGAAGAAGGGAAAGAAAAAGAGGGAAGGAAGGAAAGAGGGAAGGAAGGGTAGGAAAAAGAGAGAGAAAAAGGGAGGGAAGGTTGGCCACAGCAAAGCATGGTGGGTACAGCTAGTATATATATATAAATATAATGTTTGTTTGTGGGATTAAAATAATTCAAAAACCACTGGACGAATTGACACCATTTTGGACACAATACACCTAACAATCCAACGAGTGTCCATCACCCCTAAACACGCATACACACACAAAACCCCAGCAGAACAGACTTTAAAAAACCCACAAAAATACACAATATATACATATACACATGCAGTCATATATTTATATACATGCACACATTCATACACACACATACATATACATATATACATGCACACATACATATATACATATACACATGCACACACATATACATACAAATATGCATATATACAAGGACACATATACACAATATGCATGTACACATATAAACACTCTAATACACAAATATATACATACACATATGCACCCACAAACACACATATATGCACAAATATACACACACACACACACAAACATATATATACACACAAAACACATATACACAGACTGGGCCACAGCAACGTGTGGCAGGGGTCGGCTAGTTATATATATATATATATATATATATATATATATATATATATAAATGTAATGCTCGTTTGTGGGATTAACATAACTCAAAAACTACTGGACGAATTGACATGAAATTTGGCCACTACACCCCTAACAGATCAACGAGTGACCATCACTCATAAAACCCTGCCAAAAAACAAAGGAAAGGACTTTAAAACCCCCAAAAGCTAAATGACAATACAGTGCATACGCGAAAATGACAGCTCCCAGCATCCCCTAGACCAGGCCCTTTAGGGGAGGAGGAGGCTTCAAATACACTGTTTCCAAGCTGCAAAGCTTGCTTCTCCTTGGAATTCTTTGAGAGCATCCCGGTCAGTACATATTTCCAATTTCCTATTCCTGGACTGGAATCCCTAGTCATCCTGATAGATAAGATAGATTAGACAGAGATAGATAGATAGATAGATGGACCAGGAGGACTGCTGGGAGTTGCAGTCAAAGAATAGGTAGAGAAGAAATTAAGAAGAGAAAGTAAAAGGGAATGAAAAAGGGAGAAGAAGGAAGGAAAGAGGTAGAGAAGGAAGGAAGGAAGGAGATAAGGAAAGAAAAAAAGGGAAGGAAGGAAAGTGGGAAGGAAGGAAGGAGAGAAAGAAGGAGAGTGGCCACAGCAACGCATGGAGGATACAGCTAGTATGTATGTATGTGTGTGTATGGACACGTTCTCAGGCCAACGAGTGACCATCACTCACAAAACACTGAAAAACACAGAGGAAGGGACATGTGGCCAGCATGACTGCATGGAACGCCATTACTTTCCTGCCAGAGCAGTACTATTGATCTCATATTTGCATGTTTTCAAACTGTTAGGTTGGCAGAAGCTGGGGCGCTCATGCTGCTCCTCCGATTTGAACCTATGACCTTTAGATCAGCAAGTTCAGCAGCTCAGCGGTTTAACCTACTGTGCCAACAGGGGAATACAATATAATAATATATTATAATAATAATAATGTAATATAAGAAGGAGAAGAAGACGACTTTATTTGTAACTCGCCTGATGTTTGCCACAAAAGTGGCAAACATTTTGGCCATGCAGTCTGTAAATCACACAATACTCCAGTGATTCCAGCTGTGAAAGCCTTTGACAATACAAGATAGGTTTTGTAGGTTTGTTCTTAAGTTGAATTTGTATGCAAGTCGGAACAAGTCCTTTTTTATGTGGATTGCGTGATTTTAATTGATGTTGAAGTCCAAAACACCTGGAGGGCCAAAGTTTGCCCATGCCTGTTTTAACCTGTGAAAATGATTGAATTAATTGAACCAGTGACTGACAATTTTCCTATCCCCATGCAATTTGGAAACTGCAATGGGAGGACAGATAGGGCAGATCTATATCTCATGGAATTTTTCATAGAATTGTTGAATTTTTGCCATTACCATTTCAGTTTGCTCAAACTCCTTTTTGAGACGTGTTTATATCTTCTTTTTCAGTGTAATAGCTAATGGTCCAGCGGAATTGAAAGTAAAATATGGGTCTACAGTTTCATATAGTTGTCTTCCAAAAGACTCTCTTTGGCTTAACAGGTTTCCTTACTGCAACTACAGCATCTTTTCTATTTTGTAATTTATTCATGAAGCATATGCCATTAGAAACACTGCTTGTGAACACTTAGTAGTGCTTTTCTTGAAACATGCGATAGCTAACAGAAGCATTGTGCATGAAATTAGCAAGATTCAAATACCAGGATATTATCAGTTCATAAAAATATCATTTTCTTTTTGCTTTATTTGTATTTGTTAAAATTCGCCTTTCATAATGTGTGTCAGTGTGCTTTTCAGAAATAGTTACAGGACTTTAAATTCCAATATCAATTTTACTGAAAGAGCACTACTAATCTCCATTAGGAGGAAATACAATTTAAATCACCTTTAAGAGCTTTATTGCTTCCTGTACCTCTCTTCATATTTGTGTCATCCAAAGTCATTCACAGAATTTAGTTATTTATTTTTTCTCATGCGTCTTTGAAAGCCCTCTTAGGTTTAAAGTGTATTGCTTCTTACACAGTACATCAGCCCTTCACACTTGCTAGAGTTGGGAGCACAGGACCCCAGTAAAAGTGACAAACTACGAATAAAAAATTGCTATTTGTTTTACCCGAGAGAACAACCCTCTAGAAATCTCTAGGTCCTCCAGTATGGCTCTGTGGCCAATTTCTGCAGCAAGTTGACCATAGAATTGAACTGGAGAACGTGGAGATGCATTCTCTCTAGGAATCTCTAGATCCTCCAGTGTGACTAAGATCAATTTCTAAAGGAAGTTGCTCTAGAGGACCTAGAGATTCCTAGGAAGAACATTTAAATCAAATCCTTGAATACACAAATTCACCAAAGTCAAACCTGCAAATGTGAATGGACAATTGCAACAAGTTTGTTCAATTTCATTGAACAGTGGACATGGCAAGAAACATTTATGCATATCTCTTGTGTGATTTCTGCATGTCTGCTAGTAGGAATGTCAATAAATTTTTTGGCATGGTTATCTAATTCATATATCTTTACATTTTTCAAAATGGGGGGTTAGTCAGCCCTTTGTTTCTGAAATATTTGATATAATGTATCTCAAAGAATTTTGAAAAAATGCCATTGTGATGTCAAATACATCATGATCGTTTATAATGAAAAAGAATTACTTTCTATGGTGGCAATAACTCATTGGGACATCATACTTGGTAAGAGTGTTTTTGGTTGCTGTCCAAATTGGAATTGCCAATTTCAAGTAAAGAAGTTGAAATAGAAACAAATGGGCCTCCCAAAAGAAAAAAGAAAAAAAAGTGGTAGAACAGGAGAGGACTAGTATTGCTAGTGGGATTCCTGGGGTAAAAAGAACACCTTGGAAAAGAGAATGCCACATAGACTTATTTTCAAGTACTAAAAATCCACTTTAGTTAGTGATTTAATCAGGAGGTAGAGCATAGTTTTTTAAAATAGTTGGATTTAATAGCATTTTGAACAACAATGCAACAAAACAAAGCAATTTATATGTATAAAATTTGAGGTCATACCCAAGAGATACCTTTTTCCACCAGTGATCCAACTTCCAGTTTACTTTATAGATGTTATAAACACCAGCTTTAAGAAGATGTGTTTTTAGAAATGTGAACAGCTTGTATCAATGTCAATTCATAGCCTACATTCCTATCTTTTGTACTCCAATTCCCTCCTTTTTCTTTCTGCTTTGTTTTCTTTCTTTGCAATTATGTTTTTCAAAATCCACTAAAATATACTTTAAAATTTCCTGATCCAAAAAAGCTTCCATGGATTCTAAAAAAGTTGGAGAAGAATATAAACATGTCAAAATTACACATGCACACCCCACTACTATTTAGCGGGGTGTGCATAGATAATATAGTCTATTTTTAAAGACTATATTATCTTTAAAATGTTTTGTTTTTTTAAAAAAGGCCTTGGAGAGGTTTTATGTGGTCCATGATTTGTATTTTTCCCACCCTTATCATGGACCAAATTTCCCCTTCATGTTCTGTTTCTTCCATATGGTCTCTTTCTCTACAAATTATGAGAGCGATTTCCTGAAAAGTTTAAAATGCCCGTAAATAGTTAAATGGCAAAAAAGTGCAGAGGTTCAGTAAAAGAACTGCTATTCCAGTGGAATATTTAAGCAGGAGTCTGCATCATGCTGTCCTCTAGCCATTTTTGAACCGAACACCCAGCATTTCTCACTTTTTACTGTATTGACTAGGGCAGATAGAAGTTGAAGTCTAGCAACCATCACTGATTTAATTAATGCTGTAATATATACATGAATTTGACATAAATTTAAGAAGGAAATTGAAGCTGATCAAATTAAATGGTCAAAATATATGTGTTGAATTAGATGCTGTTGGGCCAAAATCATGGAAAATTTTAATGACCAAGTTTGTTTTCTTCTAAAAAAATGAATAATGGAGAATTAGGTGTGAGAGAAATAAAATCTCTTAGCATAATAGAAAAACTAGATAGGAAATTTAGGATACATACATCATGTATGTTTCCAGTATCACTACTGCATCTGATATTTATGAGTAATTTGCTAAATGATAAACAGGATTAGATTATGATGAGCCAAGGGGATATGACTAAGACCTTTAAATACAGTTGCTTGGTAAGTCTCTGCAACAGACTTGCTATAATATTGATGTGCATTACTGTATTTCTTCTAAGCAATCGCTTCCTAAAAGCCTTTAACAACCTTTCGGCTAATTCTTAGGTTCCTCCTATCATATGGTAACAGAAGGAAGTGCATCGCCTTTCTGAATTGCAACTGGCTGCTTCTGATGAGGATGCCAGGAAAATGCAAGCACGCAAAAGCACAGGTGCACTTTCTCTGTACAATACTTGTAATTTTCTGCTCCAGTCACCCTGGAGAGGCAAGTAGACCAAAATGGGGAGGTGGAAGAAACTCTTTCAGATGCACTGGCAGAGTATTTGAGAGCGAGGTGGAATCACATTTTCCAGGAGACAAGGATTGCATTGCCTGTAAGTTTTGTATTTGTGTGTGTGTGTGAGTGTGAGGTAGAGACAGGCAAGCACAAATTTCAGATTAAACTTGCTTTTACTTCCAGTTGTTGAGCAAAATTATATCTGCTTTTGGGACTGTGTAGAAATAAAATGTGTGTGTGTACATAAGGAGACAAGAGGGAGTGAAAGAACATTTATTCAGGTTGTTGAGAGTATTGACTTTAGTTTGTGTTCTTCCTTCTGATTAACCGTCATTAGCATTCATGTGGCTTTGAAGAAGGATATTAGTGCTTTTTAGCCAGTTTATATAGTTAAGAATGAATAAAAGGTTAGATCCACAGGAGATACAATAGGGTGGGAGAGGGAGGAAACTTGAGAGACCTACAGAGAAAGGCTTAGTCATTTCCTTTGTAATGCATCAGCAGAATTTACCTGGGTGTGGCTTTGATTTTAACAGCTGTGGTAATAAATTGGGTAATTACTTGCAATTGTATCCTAATGTCAATTTCATTTATTAAAATAGGTAAACTGAGGGGTCATGCTACATCATAAAATCAATATATTAAGTAGTGCTAGATATGGATAATGTGATAATAGAAAATCAGCACATTTAAACTGATTTTTAAAATGATTGTGTTTTCCTATAAGGACTTTTCTTTCTTACATTTACTTTGAATTTTGCTACTTCTTGCTCTTCTGTATCATAGTTTGACTGTTCTATTTTTATTAAGACATATGATATTTCTATAGACAGTTACTTACTATAACATATTTTTAACCAGTGTAAGGTTGCAAACAAGAGAAGAGAGATGGGTCCAAGATAATTTATCTTGTTTTGCGGGAAGAGCAGGGGAGATATAAAATGAAACATCTTCATCACCCTTGTAGCACTTGTCCTGTGGACTGTGTGCAGTGATTAATGTCACTGCACACATAGTACCAACCCAAGTTAAACAAAGACAGTGCAGTCAGAGGAAGAGGGCCTGGGAAGAAGCTTTTATAACTCCCCTGTTTTTCTAGCTTTGGGTAGAAAAGATGAACTCAGAGTTGTTGACTGTGTCATATTGAATGGCCCCTAATTGTCCTTATAGAAGAAAGCTTAGAGAAGACAATTATGCTGGGGAAAATGGAAGGAAAAAGGAAGAGGGGCCGACCAAGGGCAAGATGGATGGATGGTATCCTTGAAGTGACTGGATTGACCTTGAAAGATCTGGGGGTGGTGACGGTTGACAGGGAGCTCTGGCATGGGCTGGTCCATGAGGTCACGAAGTTGGAAACAACTGAACGAATGAACAACAACAATTGTCCCTTTTATTACTTCCACAACAGCTCCAGAAGTTATACCCTGGGCTTTTGATTTTAAGATCAGACCACCTACTAAATCAATCAAGAGGACAGCAATTGCTTACTATGGCTGATGGGGAGTGGTGATGGTAGCAGCAGCGTGCTTAATTCATTTTGAAAACTAAATATAACAACATTTGGGAGACAATGTTGGCTTTTCTCTATTCAATTTCTGACTAAAAACCTGCAATCAGATTGGTGATTCTTTTCAAATTCTTACACTGAATTAACTTGCTACATTCTTGCAAATAACAGAGCTCTCTAGACCTGAAAATATTGTGCCCATTCAATTCAATAGCCAAGAGTGCTGAAGAGTCCAAAAATAAATACAATCTATAAATCCTTTCCTTTGGGTAAATGGTATAAAGGTTACCAGAGCCAACAAAGGGGGTTACAAAGTGGAGTCCATGACATGCAAGTGTGGAGAAGAGCAAACCACAGACCACCTACTACAGGGGTGAGAAAGGTGGTATATAAATACTGTAAATAATAAATAAATAAATAAATAAATAAATAAATAAATAATACAATGCAACCTGAGCCCCACCACATGCATAATGGAGGACTTTCTCACAGTGGCACCAGAGGCACTCCAAGTGGCCAGCTTCAGGTCAAAGGAAATTTAGTATGATGCCAAGTTTTTAACTTCGTTTGCATTTTTAAATACATTATAACCGTATCCGCAATGAGTTTTTCATTCCAGTGCCATATTATTATTATTTTCTTCAGCTTTTCATCTTATTGCCATCTCTTCATTTGCTTGGCTCCCTAGGTTTTAATCATACTCCCTCCATATTATTAACTCTTTTTTCTTCCACTGCCCACCATGGAAGATTAATCTCCTCTTTAGTCCCTGAGGGGCAAGAGATTTCCCATGTTTATTGGCATATTTTTGGAGTCTTGTTTTCTCCAATCCTTTTCTGGGGTATCAGTTTTCACCAAGTACTGTTCATTGAGAGTTCTTCCCCCCCCCCTTTTTTTTTTTGTTTTGTTTTGTTCTGTTATAGAGTTCCCTGCCCTTTCTTTGATTTTAACACATGCTGCCTTCTGCTTCCTCTGACATTTTGTTTTATAGTTTTAAAGGATTTCTTCCAGTTCACCTTTTAGTTTTTGGTTCTTAAGTTATCTCTTGCACTTTTCCTTGACTCCAATATTGCACTTTCTTCTTTTCCACCCAAAGGAATGGGCCAGCCCATTCCTTTTCTTCAAATAATTCTTTACTTCCTAGGTAGTTAAAACGTTTGTGGACATTCCATGACACAAATCTGTTCAGCCAAAAGCTTAGCCACAAGCTCTACTAGAATACAGTATAATCCATTTATAATAGGCCCTGATGGAGTAAAGTTATTCTATCTAGGCTGTGCAAGTACTCATTACACAGATAAAAGAATTTATATAGAATTTACTGTTAACTAATCTAAACCATTATCAATTTATTAATGTTCCAACCAATGGTCGTATGCATTTACACCGACAAAAACAACATCTAACAAACGTCTATACAAAACACTGATTGAATCTAAACCATTAGAAACCATTTTGAATTAATGAACACTAGCTACATGTTTAATGTAATAACCAATTTTATTGGGACCGTTCTAACCAAGGGAAGGACTTGTTTCCAGCAACAAGACAAAGGGATTGACTGTTTCCTTGTGTTAAAAATAGACACTCTGACAATTCGATGACATTTTGTTTTGCAGAACATACATCTGGTGTCTAGCTCATCAGTATAATTTCTTGTGATGCATTCCTGATTTGTGCAGAAATATTTCATCTAATATGTAAAATGTGGACATGCAAAGCACATATTCACATGCTGTAGTTGAATAAACTGTAATCATTGTGAATTCAGGTGTACTTCATCAACCAGTCAATCTAATTATGTATATCACTTTTATATTTTAGAATTCACCACTTTATCAGTACTTACAGGATTTGGGACACACTGATTTTGAAAAATGCTCATCTGTGGTGCAAAAGCAAGAAGAATGTACAGCCAAAGAGGGACAAAAAGACATGGATACAAGTCTCATTCAGAAGGCAAGTTGGTAATTCAGTAATTCATAACCTCATGCAGTTTCTGGTCTTTGTTTAAACAATCCCTTCATAGTGTGTCCTTTGTTTGCATATGAGTGTTGTTGAAAATCTGTATTAGTGAGCAGAACAGTCTTCCTTTGAGTCCTTTTCTGATAGTTCTCCAGAATTACAGCTTCTAGGACAGCCAAAGCAGGAGACAGGAACTTGTTCTTTTTTGTTTGCTGGTAGAGTCTTTTCGATAGAGATGTGTAGGCCTGTAATAGAATCAACCATGTTCCAATACATATTTTTGTTAGGAAAATAGCCCTCCCTGTTTTCTCTGGGCCTTAACTTCTCTCTTTCTCTACATAGCCTTTGCCACGTCACAGTATTTCATCCCATTTAGTTATTATAGGTGTAGCTCTGTATAGCACAGGAATGGGGATTGTGACAGCTCTCCAGATGTTGTGGGTGTCTAATTCCCAACATTCCTTATGAATGTTGGCATTGGCCAGGCCTGATGCAAGGTGCAGTCCCTAAACATCTAGAGCACTACACAATATCAAACTTTCTATCGACACATACCTAGGACTAAGAATCACTGGAGTCAACAGAAATTGTTTCTGAACAGAAATGTATAAGATTGTGCGGTGTTCATGTAGTGTGGACAATCTGTTTGCAGCCTCCTAAAACAAACCAGGCTCATCCAGTTTGCAGAGAACATTTTATTTGTTTGTAGTGCTTACTCCATTGGAACAATGAAAGATTTAGTCAGAGTTGAAGCTTTGGAGCTTGAAAGATGCATGGCAGGAGAGCAGAATAGGAAAAAATAAGGTAGTTTTGCAAATGGGAACAGTTATGCCTATTTCTTGCTTCTGCCGCTCAGAGACTGCCCTTAATAAACTTCTTTCTTTAAATAGCACTGGCTAGGGAAAAGAAGATGAGATAATCCTTGTAGATTATTTTTAACACTCCAATTCCTGCAACATGTCACTGTTACAAATCAAAATTACACTACTTATCTTAACTGACATAGAGAATAATTTTTATATAGCTTTTAAAATTTGGGGCATGGGGCTTATCCTATAACCCCAGCTACATTTTTCATTTCAGTACCAAAAATTTTCAGGAACTTTGTCCTTAGACTATATCTAATACTTGGGCTAAAGCAGACGTTCCCATAGGGAACCCAACACTTTCATGCTGCTCCTAGGAAAAGAGCAACATAATGAATAGCTTGCCAGCAATATATGCCAAGCACAGTGAACTTGTATTGAGTTGGAACAAATAAGGCAGCTGCTAAATTCTTCTCTTGGGGTGGTATTAATTTACTTCTTGCTGAAAATTCTATTGGTTTTGTGCTGTACTATAGCACATCGTTGGAGGATTTCCAATGTAGTTATCTCTGCTTTTCATTTCTTCCTATTGGACAGTTTGTCTTTCAGTGGAAAGGCTCCAGCTACGTGTTAAATAGGAGGGAGGCTTCACTCCAGACGTCTTTGCCCATGAATGCCAGTTGGAGACTATTTCAGTATCCAAAAATAAGGAGATATATAAAAAGGCAGCAGATGTTGATCTGTACAGTCTGAAAAATGTGACATGACTGTAGTCATGACAAAATGAATATATTAGATGTGGAGTTGTTCATGTAAGCCAACAAGATAAAGAAGAGGGGGGAAAGACAAACACTGCTTAAATATAGGAATTATAATATTTACTATATAATAAAAAAAATGGTAGCTGTCTGCTCAGAAGCAAAAAAAGAACTATTTTAATGGGGTTTTTTCTTCTGAGTTTTTTTTTTGTTGCTGTACAGTAAAACTGCTAAGGAACCACAAGGTATTGTCAGCGTGGTACCAAGGCAGTATGATATACTCTCTTGTGTTTCTTTATTTATGCTAAATTAGAGGCAAGCTGGATTTGCAGGTGATACTCTGCATACAGGAATAGATTCTTCAGCTGTCCCTCATTTCACATCTAGTCCCCAATTTAAAAACTGGTTTACTACAGCTAGACACTGAATATAGATTGTACAATGGGACAAGGTCTTTGGATGACCTTCTAGAAACTCTAGAGTTGTAAACTTATCCCCTGATTTGTAGCTGATTGTGAGTTAATAGTGCTTATTTTCAGAATCCACATTTTGATTGAAACATTTCTATGGTACTCATAGGCAATCCGTGAGATTCTAACACGTGTTCAATTCTGAACAAGACCTTTCAGATATTTGCTTTGCTTTTCCAGTTTTGTACAGGATACTGTACTTCTCAAATTTACAGTCATACTGGACAAAAATAAAATGCAATAAATAAATAGAGAAAGAGAGAGAGAGAATACTCCCTGCAGTGATTTGAAGGCTGTTGGTGCTAAGTTTAGAACTAGTTCCTGTATTTACAAGAAAATCCAGCAGGCAACTTCCTTTTTATCCTGTATATTGCTGATAGCTGCAGTACAGCAGCTCACAATAGCTTTATTCCAAATAATGCCTATTTTGTAATTTTTCCCTTTTAAAATTGCTAATGACTTTATTCAGTAATAAAAATTACATATTATCAGATAATATTTGCAGGACAGCTGGAAAGCATCCGCCCCCAGGTCTAGTATATCCCAATTATTTTAACACAGAAAGGGATCCATATAATTATTTATCACTCTCTTTCTGAGATCTGTATACTTTAAATGCAATTGTGAGAGTATTCCAAATATGCAACTTTGGAGAGAGATGTGTGTGATGTCTGGAATAGTTACCGTGTATACTCAAGTATAAGCCGAGTTTTTCAGCCCTTTTTGAAGGCTGAAAAAGCCCCCCCCCCCCTCGGCTTATACTTGAGACAAAGTTATTTATTATTTTACTCTGTTATTATTATTTTGTTACATGTAATAGTTTACTCTTTATTATTATTACATTTACTCTATTGTTATTACATTTATTATTTTACTCGATTATTATTATTATTTTTATTACATTTATTATTTTACTCTTTTTATTATTATTGGAAAGATACAGAAGCACATTTACATTGAAGAAGGTTAGAATAATGGCTTAACCAGAGTTGGACAGTCTTAGATTAAATTACAGTTTTAAGTAAATATTGAAAAACATGACATCTACTGATACCTCAATTAATGTAAATTTATCTATTTTTATTTTGAAATTTACCAGTAGCTGCTGTATTTCCCACCTTGGATTATACTCGAGCCAATACATTTTCTCAGTTTTTTGTGGTAAAATTAAGTGCCTCAGCATATATTTGGGTCAGCTTATACTCGAGTATATATGGTACTTATGTTATCTGCAGGCTGGTTCACTTGATGGCAGCAATCCCTAAGTATCCTAGAGCATGTAGAGGTTTTCTCTGAGTTTGTAAGAAAGTTGTGTTTGAATCTGGGCATTTTTGTCATATCTGTGTGTGATCTGTATACATGGCAGTTAAGATTTCTACGACACTCTGACTGTGCCACCATTCAATAGAAATAGACACTTGGATAGTTATAGATATCTTGTGACATCATCACTTTTATTTCTCATTTCGTCTAAAATACTTCAGCCTTCTTTTATTGCTGCATCCACTAGGCTTAGATAAGTAATTCCAATCATATACAAGAAAATAGCAACCATAACAGCAAGCATTCAGAATACTCTGTAAAGTTGCTTTAGTCATGCAAGGCAATTATGAATTCATTTGACAAAAGTTTAAACAGAAATCTTTATTAACATAAAAATGCCTGCATTGAAAAGGCTAAGCAGATATTGACAAGATATTGACAAGAAAGGACTTCTGTAAGTATTGGTTCCAGTGCTGACAGGGGGCCGTCTCTTGGAAATGCCAGCTTAGTAAAACTATGTTAGACACTTGAGGAGGACCCACTGGTGTAGATCTTAGTGTATGGATAGCATTATATGAGTGAAATTGTCAGCTGTTATAGCAACTGTCCTTAGATGATGAGATCATCATCTAAAGGTAATCACCACATATGGCGTAACTCAAACAAGCTGTTTAAACACTTAAGTAATCTTACTGATGCAATACTTTGAATTTTAAAATATGATTGCCTTGCATTTAACGAAAATAACAATACCATGTTTTTATTTGCTTGTTTTACCAATGCGGTAGAAGCCAAACAGTGGTTGACTTGAAAGCAATGTGATGACAATGTGCCTAAAGTTAAGCCTATTAACAACTTGTGGTTAAACTGGCTACTTGAATGAGAAACCTTCAGTTTTTTGACACTTTAAGAAGCTCAAGTAGAAATAGTTTCTGAGTTCATACTCAGCTGGACATTCAGGCTATGCTGAAGTTGAAAAAACATTGAACCAGAACCACCTTAACCACCAGTGCACCTTTGTTTAAAGAAAATGAAGTTCTTAACGCTAATTATCTGATTTAATTACATTTGCCTTTGATCTGACTGACCTTTTACTTTCATAATTAGAGTTTCACTCCTAGTACCAGTTTGTGAGTGCTGTTTATACAACTGCCAAATTACATTTCAGGAAAAGCTGCATTTGGATTCTAGCTAAACGTAACCCCTTTAGCTTTAATTAGGCAAGTTTAGATGAAGGGTGCTATGAAAGAGAAGTAATCATGAAGCTTTTTAATTAAAATCTTTGTGAATAAAACATATTACAGGACCATCTCATCTACTTACATATTTAAGTTGAATATATATTCTAGTCTAAGCATACATTTCTACATTAAAATGACAGAATATATAGGCTATATATATTCTGCCAAATAGAATAAAACATGATCAGGCTTGTGTGTGATATATGTCATTAACATTTCCAATGGATAAAAACGCCACAACAAGATACACAAATAGTTTAATCAGTTGTTGAATAATGGGGCTTAAATCCAATCTCTAATCTTCATGAGATTGAGCAGGCCGATTGAATCGATGGGATTTATGCAAGTTCTGACTTAGCATTCAAGAGTTCACAACTGCACAGGGTAGATAATTTCCTACTCCCCATCAGTCCCAAAGGCTGCATAAGCACGTTGGGGCTGCAATCCAACATCTCCTTTGCTCAGCAGAAAGATCTGTGTGTGGACCTTTACCAGGCTGAGCCATGTGCTTATCAAGAATCACCTTTTCCTTGCTTTGTGAGGCATAGGCAAGCTCACAGAAACATTTGGCTACATCCCAACTTTGGCCCTCCAGGTGTTTTGGACTTCAACTCCCATGATTCCTAACAGCCGGTAGTCTCTTAGGAATGATCAGAGTTTACATCCAAAACACCTGGAGGGCTGAAGTTTGATCATGCCTGCTATAACCAGATGCAAATTTATGACATCATTCCTAGAGGATCCTGGTGGATCTCAGCATTGTGAGGCAACATCAGAGGCTTTCCACTATGTGATGGGTGATTGAGTGCTGCAGAAAAAGTGAAATAATATCAACCCCGCCCCCATGCCTAAAAAAGGAGAGCCACACATGTATGGGGCAACTTGTGCAGATTTATTTATTTACTTTATTTTACCGCCTTTCTCAGCCCATAGGCGACTCAAAGCAGTTAACAGGGCAAAATTCAATGCTTACAATGTCATAAATACAATTAAAAACATATAATAAAAACTAAACAAATCAATAAAATATAAATTCATAGTGTCTCCTTGTTTAAAACGTTGTCTGGACTCATTGTCTAGTCGTTCCATTTTCCTGTCAGTTACTCTGCATTTGCAACCCTTGTTCAAAAAGCCACGTATTGACTTTTTTCCGGAATGTTAAAAGGGAGGTGGCTGATCTATAGGGATGGTTTTCCACAGCTGAGGGGCCACCACCGAGAAGGCCCTGTCTCTCAGATGTCCCTAACAGGAGACTGGCTCATTTCTCCTCCTCTTCTCATTCAAAATGATAACAGAATAAGACACTGTGAAGCTTCCTCTCAATTAATTTTTTGGGGGAAAGAGGGAAAATATCGTATTTTAGAAGCATTGATGGGTTGTGAGGGGAATTGGGAAGCTGCAAATGGTTTTTTTAAAATGTCTTTGAAATTTGGGTACAGTTATTGACTATTTCTCCAAAGGTGGCACAGATTAAGTTTAATATTAATTTTTCACAGATTGGAAATCAAATGGAGTAACCTCATTTTTGCACAAACGTATGTGTAACTGTAAGAGTGACAAAACCTATGCCCAATCTTCTTGTGTAAAAACCTATTTCTTAACAGACATCCTTTTTTCATGTACTTAAATGAAATCAAGTAAATGAAATATATTCTTGTGAGTTAGGGAAATTGTTCATAATTAATGAACTACTATTGCTTCTTTCATTTTTTTATAGAAAAGTACTTTGTCAAACCTAGCTGAGAGATTTACCAGCTGGCTACTTTTTTTACCACACAAGAAAAAAGATGATGTGCTCCACCAGTTGGTAAGCATCTTTCATTGCCAACCCACTCTCCTACCAAAATTACTGTCCTGTTTCCCTTAATAATCATTTCTGTTTTTTAACAAATAATTTACTTCCACTTTTTAAAGAAAACTTAGCTTGATAGGTCATTGCTTGTTTTGTATATTACATAGCGAATAAAAATTGATCCGAATCATGCCTTATTTAGCAAAATTTCTGATAAAGGAGTCCTTTTTAGCATTTGTCCAGTTCTTTCTGGTGCTGGTATCAGTCTTGAAGTAGCTAGCTACATATTGCTCCCTTGCTGACTTTTCCTTTTACTTCCATCTTTTTTTTCTATTGTTCCCCATGTGTTAAATTTCATATATTAATGTCTTTTTTGCTCCGCAAAGCGTCATGCATACTGATGCTGCTGTATACATATTAAATAATAAAGTTCTTAATCTAATTTTGGACCTACCTGGATTATACGCATTAAAATGAATAGATTTTGTCAGTCACAGCTAGTTTAAGTCTCATGGACCTATTTCAGATACCATTAATGTTGATTTTAGGCCACAGAAAGCTTTGCATAGTTATAAAGAGAGTTTTATTTGACAAATGCTTGTAGTGCTCAATCAATGCTATTATTCTGAATCCTTTATATTAAGGATGTTGGTTTTCGCTCAGAGGCTCTCCACACCATCCTGCAACAGGAAGTTCTGCTGCAGGAGGATGTTGAACTGATTGAGCTGCTTGACCCCAGCATCCTGTCTGCAGGACAGCCCAAGCAACAGGAATGTGGACATCTTCCAACGCTACGCTCCCTAGCAACTCCTAATATTTGGTATTGACTTGAATTATGTGCCGGCAATAGGAATATTGTACTTGTCCTGTGGGCAATGTGTAGCCTGCAATTTGCATGTGATCCCCAAGGGACATTTTTTGTGGCTCAAATTTGTTCTCATTTTTTTTTCAGAATTACTTCTTAAAACTCTGAAGTATACACACATCCTGCTATAATGTATATGTGTGTGTGTGTGTGTGCGCGCGGGAATTTCAGATTTTGTGGTTTTAAAAAAATATTCTGCCCCAGAATGTCTCAAAATGCTGTCTAAAGACCCAGGACACCCCCTATACCCACATGTCTCATCAAGAGTTTTGTGTTTGTTTTTCTTCGTTTGTTTATTTTGGTGGGAGCAGGTAAGACCCTGGAGGGCTTAGCCCTCTAATCTACCGCAGCAGCTCGCCATTTGTTTTAGGACTAGAGACCGGAGTGAGCAATGCTTTATGAATTCCCTTGTACTTTGTTTAACTTGTACTTTGCTGTGGTTAATTCAAACAACTATGTTCTTGTGCTCTGGGAGGCAGAAGGCCAGATATAGAGATTTTGTAATGCTTTGTTCTTAAGCAACTTTTGGGTTTGTCCTTCCTAGCTGCTTTTTTAAGCCAGACTCTGGTAAAAGTAATGGGGGAAAAAACGAACATTCTCACAGTGAACAAGAAAAGAATCAGATATAATTATCCACATTGATTAGCTGAGCTTTCATATCAAAGTATTTGTTGTGTTCTTGCAGAGGCCTGTAGTTTTGTAATCATTTTTCAAAATTACACTTTTGCAGACAAAAGCAAACAACACCTGAAGTTTGCAAAAGCTGTTACTAGGCACAATTTTTTCATAGTTTATCTAAAAATAACAAGCAAGCAATTTAAAAACCTGCTCACAAAGATGTCTTTTACATCCATCTTTTTTTTTTTTACAAAATAGTTAAGAGTACATGACTCACAGTCTGAAAGAACAAACATTACCTTATTACTGGTTGCATTGTCAAGTTAGTATAGAGCAAGGCCATTATGTGCAGCCGCATCTTGAATTTAAGCTGAGAGGGAGTCAGAAGATGATTGTAGATGAAAATGATTCAGAGGCTGAAAATCCAAATCTCTTCTTAATTTGGTAAATTAGCCCACTTACACTATCATTATGTATTAAAACTGGCCAAGTACTTTTTAATATTTTAAAATAAAGAGAATACCTGTATTTTTCTGTACAACTAAGACCAAAATGAGAAATAACATTAACCCATGTCTTGACTGGTACTTTTTGTTCTGGGGGCAGAAGACACACTGTTGCCTCTGTGCAGCTCATCTAAAATCCTTACTTTCTCTGTTATTTGATATATGCAGCTCTTCTGCTGCAGTGGAGAAAATGGTTATATTTCTAACAAAATTAATTATAACTCTGTATTTTCTTATTTTTTGTGGGCATCCCTCTTTATCTTCACATATCAGTTGCAGTAGTGATTTCTCTCATTGGAAGACAGAAATGAAGCCATTTATTTTAACATCATTGGTTGGAATGATACGAGCACACCTTGCCTGGTATTTCTGTTTTCATAAAGGCCAGAGTGTATTCTATTCTTTTTAAAATGAAATAGCGGAATCTGAATTGGCTAACAGTATAAAATATAGATGGCCTGTCCAAATCCTTAGTGAAATTCAGGATGATGAAGGATGTGGTATCCTTAGGAGTTCCTTACTTATTTTTCTTCTTGTGTTTTCAGGGATCTTTCATTATTGTTTGCCATCATCAGCACCCTGGTTATGCTTCCTTCTTTGTGGAATGGGTTCCTTGGACTTGTGTGGGGAATAGGCCTGTTGGTCTACTTAAGCTTGAGAGCTTTGGACACATTGAGGACTGCCAAGCTGCAAATGTCTCTCAGAAAATGTCATCTCCAACTAGAAGATATAGTAGCAAATTGCCGAGCATTCACCAATCTTGTGAGGAAAGCTCTACGGCTCATTCAAGAAACTGAAGTCATTTCCAGAGGATTTACTCTGTAAGTCTGACATTTGGATTTTTTTTTTAAAAAAATCATTTTCATCTGTTGAATATTTGTACACAAACACACATAATGGAAATAGCAAAAAAGTCTGTTTTCTTTTGTTATTGTTGTTGGTGGCTGTTTTGACCTTTGACACAATTTTTAGCAACTCAGAGCATGTCAGTAAAGGACATTACAAAGAGTGTAAACCTATTTTATTGCTACTTGTTTTATTTGTGTTGGTCGTATCTGATAAAAGTAAAGAAGAGTGACAAAGAGATCAATAGTTCCCATTTATCTACTTCGATAATAGATTATATAAGTGATTAGTAGCAATCTGCAAAATCAAAATACTTGTGCTTATTTTCTGTTGTGGTCAAACATTGCTTTTATCTATAAAACATTTGCTTCCAAATTAGTATGTTAATAAAATGGAAAAGGCAAATAAACCAGAAAACAACCACAGTTCCAGTTTTTTAAACTTATATATGTATATACAATGTTTTGATCTTATAGAGCATATGCTTTTAGTACTAGCTCAACAATATGATTTGCAACTGAAAGCAGTGACATTCAAAAATGAAACTCATCTTAAAGAGAGAAAATTTCCTAACCATAAATAAACTTAAATTTAGCTTCACTGACAAAAACAACCTTTTTATGTTTAGGCATGTTGTAAAGCAGGCCAAGTCTGTTCTTGATGAAGTAGCATGTACTTAAGAATAGTTAATCCTATAGTTAAAATAACAAGTCAAAAAGAGCTTATTTAGTGTTTAACTGCAGTCTGCACAAGCCCTTAGGCAAAACGAGGTCCTTAATTTTCATAACTGAGCCTTGTGGGTAGGTTTGTTTAGCTCTCCAGTTGAAAACTAGGTCAATGAGCAGGATCCAGTTATGTGATAGCTTGAGCAAAGGACACTTTTTCCAGCTCCTTCAGAACCTATTGTGTTCTGGCAGGTATCTAGTGCCTCACACGCAAGTGTTCCCTGAGTAAAGCTGGGAAGACTCAGTACTGTGAATGAGTGTAGCAAAACGAGTACGTTGAAGTGCTTGGAGCTGTGCTAGGTCTTGGAGAATAGTCTATCATATCAGGGTGAAAATCATGCAAGCTTATTGACCACCACAGTTAAAACTGCCATAAAATGTTTATACTGCCAAGAATCAGACTCTTTCTATTAGTTCAGAAAGATTTTGGAATTTTTTTATTCTAGTTTAAAAAAAACCCAACACTAAGATATATCCCTGCCTTTTAATTAAAATGCCAATCTGGTTCTGCTCAGACTATAACTGTGTTACTTGATAAATAAACAAAAAACTTCACTTGTAGTTATGGATCCAAGCCATGAGGTCACTTAACTATTTGCTTCTATTTTTTCCCTTTAATGAACAATAGCTCAAGAAAGGGCTTTTTGCTGCAGTGCTAAGTGAATATAAGGTCAACAAAAGTATGTTTTGCTATAAATGTTTTGACTAAATTACCATCTTGAAACAAATAAATAAGCAAACAAGCTGTCAGAAAAAAGTTTTCTGAAAAAAGATGGGTAAAATAGTTCTTTTAATTTGGCTCTTATACCCTTTATTTAGTTGAAGAAATGATTATTATCATAATCATTATAATGTTGTTGTTGAACATTTGTTCTCTGCTTTTCAATAAAAATGGAGGTGGAGGCAAGCCACAGATAATACAGAGCAAAGAAATGAGAGGGAGAGAAACTTTGTAGTAGACTTTGGTCTCCTTCCTGTCTGAGACTAAGATGTGTTTTCCTTCGACTGTTTTAGAACACCATTGGATTATGCTCCCAAATGCATGCTTATTTAGAAATCTAATATATGTTTGAATTGCTCATATTTTCAGTGATCATATGCCAAAAGCAACTATGATGGACTAGCTGTTATTCCTACAGCGCATAATATATAGAACATCACAATACTTGTGTGGTTTATGACATATAGCACTCCTGGGTCTGCCAGTCTTTTGAAATTGGAGAGGCCAAAGACTCATGTGTGCAAATTTTATAAGACTGTGAAGAATAATCTATCTTAAGAGAAACAGCATATATATATATACACACACACATGCGCACGCACACAAATGTAACTTTAGGTGTCATGCCATTTATTTGTTCATATATTTATGTGAAATATTTTGCATGTTTTTCTCTTTTATGTAGTAGGAGCTTGAAGTTAAGCTTGTGCATTGGACTTTACTACTCACAGTGATGGGCTTTTTTGCAGCATCAATAACTTACAGAATTCTAAAATTCACCATTAATATTAAAATATGTATACTGATGTATTCTATGAGGAAAATGACAATATTATTGTTTTATATTGTGTTTTTATAATTCTTTAGGACATCTGTACAGTTGTATCACATTTTACTTTTCAAGTTTGCTTGACAGGGTCAGTGCTGCTTGCCCATTTAATAAAGCTGGACAACATCCTTGTCAGCATCTCATGGGTCTCCGGAAAGCTGTGTACCGATCCGTAAGAGCCAATTTCAGAGCCTCAAGACTTGCCACCTTATATATGCTGAAAAAATATCCTTTTGGAACTATGAGTCCTGCAGCTATCCCTCCACCCTGAGTGCCTTTCAGTCTCTTATGCATTGTGCTCTTTTCCTCGTCAGTTATTCTTGTCAGAGAACATTCCATCCAGTCCTATCAGTGTTTCCTGGGCAGACTCTTACTGTCTTCTAGAAGTCTTAGGGCTTTGTTAGTAGTCATAAAATTAGATTCTTAAATTGGGATAACCCCCTTAAATCTGTTGGGATTTGCAGGCAAATTAGCATGTGTAGGATTGCAGGGCAAACTACTGTCAGTCTTTTGTGCATCCCCTAGCCATTTTACATCTATTCTAACCATGACTTATATGGTTGTGATATTTTATATGGCTTTAATTTTGCCATTGTAATATGGGAGCAAGTTATGGGATGCATCATGAAATAACATGGCCCGTTGGAAAAGACAATAATGGTAAGCAATATTAAGGCAGTAGAAAAGAAGTCCGACTATGGGAGGTGGCGCTCATTTCCATTTCTAAGCTGAAGAGCCGACGTTGTCCATAGATGCCTCTAGGTCATGTGGCCAGCATGACTGCATGGAGTGCCGTTACCTTCCTGCCAAAGCAGTACCTATTGATCTACTCATATTTGCATGTTTTTGAACTGCTAGGTTGGCAGAAGCTGGGGTTAACAGTGGGAGCTCATCCCACTCCCCAGATTTGAACCATCGACCTTTCAATCAGCAAATTCAGCAGCTCAGCAGTTTAACCCACTTCGCGACCAGGGGCTGTCTCATATATATATATATATATATATATATATATCTCCATTTTGCACGTTTTAGGGACATATCTTTGACTGTAACATGTAATACAAAAAGCTTCTTGAATTGCCTTAACCCAAAACTAAACTTACCCATTGAATTCTGAGAGTGACAATGTGACAAATTACATCTGTGTTGTGCCTTTTAAAGAATTGGGCCTGGGACTAAGTGAAGAACAAGTGTCAGAAGAAGCAGCACATAATTTTACAGATGGCTTCAGTCTGCCTGCACTAAAGGTAAATCCACACTTCAGGCTGATTTTGTTGACCTACTTCTTTTGCAGCTACAGCTAGTTTGTAGTTTAGATTATACTGAATTACATTATTTTAAGGGGAGAGAGTTCAGAACTCAGATATATTTCTGTAATATTTTAAATTGTTGTAATATTTTTGTGTTTTCCACAAACATATTTGTACATATTGACCGTTGGTGCTATGGTGCTTGTATAACTGTGAACTTAGAAACCATTTTTAATTTGTGGTATAAATTTATGCAATAACAAAATATAGTTTCCTCCCATCTTTTTGTACAAAGTCTTGAAATAATTCAAACCATGTGAGAACTTACTGCCATCTTTATGTATTTTGCATTATAATAAACAGTTTAATGGGAGTAACAGAGACTGAATTACAGCTGTTAATAAATTGCTGAAATAATTAGGTGTCCCCAAGACCTAATATTTGAAAAAGATACTTGGCTGGAATCCTCCTGGTGACAAAAATAGTTGCAGTGTCAAATTAAGCCTAGATATATCTTTTAATGGTCACTGGACCATTAAATTCTCCAGAGGTTCCCAATGACCTTTGCTTACTATTTGTGAGTCAGGACAGGGGCTGGTTGTGTTCCCACTGCAATATATGATCAGGGCCATTAAGTTAAATATATTGCTAGAGTTTCATTTAGATGATTTAAAACATTTCCCTTCTGGCTCATCAATCATCTGAGATGATCTAGTTTAGATCACATTGTTCTTGGTCCTGTTTTTGAAATACTTTTTATGGGCAAGCAGGGGAAATGAAAACAGAATGCTTTTGTTGCAATAAGGAAGGTTGTGATTTTTCTGTCTTTTCAAGGTTCTATTTCAGCTTTGGGTTGGGCAAAGTTCTGAGTTCTTCAGGCGGCTTGTTCTTCTGCTTTCGCCTTCCAATGCATCTCTCAAGACTCTGATTACGGCAGAACGTTTGCCTCTTTCTGTCTTTTCTGATGTGACTCAAGGCCTCCCTCACGCTCATGCTGCTTGCTTAGAAGAACTTAAACGAAGCTATGAGTTCTATCGGTATTTTGAAACACATCACCAATCCAGTCTGGAAAGATCAGTCAAAACTCAACAGAAATCAAGAGAGCTAAACCATCTCCAAACAGCAGTGCGTAGTTTGCAACTCCATCTAAAGGCCTTACTGAATGAGTAAGTTCCTCTCTGAGAGACTTTCTCAGTAGTTATAGTTGAAATTTTGAAAAGAACAAATTTGGAAATATAATATTACAACCAAAAAAAATTGATAGATTTTGAGGGAAATATGCTCATGTAAGTTACTATCCTTGTTAGCCTAGAACTTATTTAGCCAAATTATGTCTTTCTTATTCCAAAAAAGGGAATAAAATGATTTTTCTACTTCTGTATGAGCTGTATATATAATATATGGTATTGTATAAAAATCCCTGAGATATATGGAAATAGCTGTGTTGCCATTGCAGATAAAACATATGGTGTATGAAAGCAAAGAACCGCAATTCAAAAGAGTTTTGTGTGACTAAAACCTATCCATTTTAATAGTGTTATTTCATGAAAAACATTTAGCTACAATAAGTTTTATTGGCTACTCACCTGTTAATGTGTATTTAATTTTATTATTTACTGAAAATACTTAAAATATGTCTATGTTTGCCTCTAAAGAGGATGTTCATCATGAATTATGTACTTCACTTTTCATCAAAGACACGGTTGAAAGCCAAAACAATAATAAATCCCCTATCTATTCCTACTTCCTTTTTCTGGTGAATTCCAACAGTCCTTTATATAAATACTGAGAAATAAGTCCACTTTCATTTAAAGAGACTTTCTCTCAGGCAAATGTTTGTCAGACTATAGCCTTAAAAAAGTTGGTTATTACTGAATATATGAAAAGATGACATGCTGAGTTGGACCATTGTTTCCATCTATCTTCAGTTAACAGCAGTTCTCTAAGAATAGCAGAGGTATGGGGAATGCACCTATGGCTTTCACCTTGCCTTTTATCCCCATTCTACAGCATTCATTATTACAGTAATTCCTTTCCACGAGGAAGACTTATTTTATTTTGAATGTATGGCATTATCTCAAGCCTGTTTTAGAATATAACTATTAGTCATACTGTATTATGGTTTACTTTAATTGATTTACTTTATTTTTATTCAATTTTCTCCTACAGGGTGAGGCAGCATAACTTCCTTTTTTCAAAACTTAATAAAACCCATTGTATGAATCAGATTTTTTTTTTATAATGTAGGCGCATACCTAAAGTTTTGTTTTATGTAGTTTTGAAGATCAAATTAGGTAGGTGACGTCCCCCATTCTCCATACACTGAGTAAACCGATTTTTGGCGTTTGTCATGACTCTTGCCAGCATAGCAGGCATTATGTTGGCAATTTCTTCCTGGATGTTTGTCTTGGATGGTTCACATAAACACGGGATTTCAAAAAACCCCATAGAAAAAAATCACAAGGGACCAAATCTAGAGAGCGGGCCGGCCACTCCAAATCCGTTCGAAAAGTAGGCCTCAACAGCAAAAGCTGTTCCAACGCATGATGGCGACTGAACTGTGTCAGGACAAAACTTTATACTCCCGCCTCTCGAACGAGACCACTAGCGCTCCACTACGTCTTCAACCGACTGAATGGCATGCATTTGAAAAAAGGAAGTTATGCTACCTCACTCTGTATTATAGGGACTCATGCTCGCTCACACTGAATATAAAATAATGTTAATTAAAAAAATCACAAAGACATTAAAATATCATATAGATCAGTGTTTCTCAACCTGGGGGTCGGGACCCCTGAGGGGGTCGCGAAGGGGTGTCAGAGGGGTCGCCAATGACCATCAGAAAACACAGTATTTTCTGATGGTCATGGGGATTCTATATGGGAAATTTGAGCCAATTCTATCATTGCTGGAGTTCAGAATGTTCTTTGATTGTAATGAACTATAAATCCCAACAACTATAACTCCCAAAAGTCAAGGTCTATTTTCGCCAGGCTCCACCAGTGTTAACATTTGCGCATATTGAGTATTTGTGCCAAGTTTGGTCGAGATCCACCATTGTGTGAGTCCACAGTGCTCTCTGGATATAGGTGAACTACAACTCCCAAACTCAAGGTCAATACCCACCAAATCCTTCCAATGTTTTCCGTTGGTCATGGGAGTTCTGTATGGCAAATTAGGTTCAAATCCATCGTTGGTGGAGTTCAGAATGCTATTTGATTATAGGTGAACTATAAATCCCAGCAACTACAACTCCAAAATTACAAAATCAATCCTTCCCCAACCCCACTAGCATTTACATGTGGGTGCATTGGGTATTTGTGCCCAGTTTGGTCCAGTGAATGAAATTGCATATCTGATATTTACATTATGATTTATAACAGTAGTGAAATGACTGCTATGAAGTAGCAACAAAAACAATGTTATGGTTGGGGGTCACCACAACATGAGGGACTGTATTAAGGGGTCACGGCATTAGGAAGGTTGAGAACCACTGATATAGATAGAGATTTTAAAAACCATTTATATTGTTTAAACCATAAAATATTGAAATATTAAAATGTATTAAAATGTTACACAAGTGTTAACACAGCATTTAAATGCCCAGTTGTTATTAGGTTATAAATGCTTGATGGCAAAGAAATATTTTCACCTTGATGATGAGTACTTTTCTGAAAGTAATTTCACCAAGATTTGTTTGTAGTTTAAATGTTTATCCTACTAGTTCCCAAAATAATAGTTAAGCACAATACAGTTATATGGACAAAATGGGTGGAATGTAGGACATAATTATAAACATTTCTTGTTCTGAACAACAAAATGGTCCCATACCATCTTAAGTAAATTTCTTGTTCCATTGTATAGAATGAACATTTGGAAACATTGGCTAGAATTTATTAATTTCGTTGATAAAAATATTGAAATCCTGTCCCTATATTCAAAGATTTCAGGGTGGCATACAATAAAATTAATTCAAACAAGTTAGTTTTTTTTCTTTTCAGGAGCGACTTGAGAAACTGCAAGTTGCTTCTGGTGAGAGAAAATTGGCCATCTGCAAGGACGTTGCCCAGGGGCGCCTGGATATTTTAGCATCCTGTGGGAGGCTTTCTCTCATGTCCCTGCATGGGAAGCTAGATCTGACAGGCGGGAGCTCACCCCACTCCTCGGATTCAGAGTCATCAAACCCTGACTCTGAAGACTTTAATAAACTCAACAATGCTCACGGTCCATAATTATACTGTTAGCTGAATTTACAAATCCAGCTATGTATCAGTTCTCAATACTGAGAGCTAGATTTTCGTCCAAATACAAAAACTATTTTTAAGCCAAAGGATTTTGTCTTATTTTGGTGTTTTGTACTGGTTCCTTTGCTCTCCTCTTTCAGATCTAAGCAGCTGCTTTGTTCTTTGTGCTTTGTCTAGTTAATGCATCTATTAGTACGCTAATTAACACATTTCCATGTCAGGGCTGGTATTACATGGCATGTTGCTAAACCTAGGGATTCCAAACCATGCTACCAAGGCTCTTCCTCAACATTTCTCTACCTCTTTCACTAGGACAGAATAGTAGATAGGAGCAAGGACAATATAGAGCAAGCCCTGCATGTTCTACCTTCTCACTCTTAAAAGGCTTTGTGGATTGGAGGTAAAAGGAGAAGGCATGCAAAGTAGCAACAATCATAGCTGCATGGAAGAGGTAGATCTACTATGTGGTTTTGCTAAAGCTCCCTCAGTTCCCGCAGCTATTATCCTTAATAAAAACAACCAGGAGCCAGAACTGGTCCAGGTTTGGATCTTACCAATGCACCCAGATCTTGTCAGATATTTTAAGACATATCAAAAGGAGCACTTTTTTCCATTTTAACCAACTTAGGACAAAAAGCATCAGGTTCAAACCAGAGGGGGAGAGGCATCAAAGACATTCAGAAAACATTTAACCAAGTAATAAGACAATGTTTGAGGATTGTTTTTGTTTTTTTTCTTCTTTTTTTGTTCAGAGTAATAATTCTTGAAGATGAGCTTGAAAAATTTATTAGTTCCAAAGAAAGTCAAGAACTAACCACAGAAGCCTATCAGATTGTAGAAAAAAAACTGCAACTCATCCAGCCTCACATGCAAGCTAGCAACAGCTGTTGGGAGGAGGCCATTTCTCAGGTGGACAGAATGGTTCGAAGAAACCCAGATAGAACAGGTATATTGTCTTCCTAATTCTTACAGTGTAATAATTAAGAAAGGAATATAAAGTTGTAGAGACCATCTGTAAAACATCATGTAGGTGCTCTGGTATCTACGGGGGGGGGGGGGGTCATAAAACCAAACTTCAGTGGATACCAAGGGCCCACTGTATATGAGAACATTCCTGGCTTCATGGAGTTGTTCAGCATGGTATGATACTGTTAAATAGTAGTTGGTAGATTGTTCTGCATCCTGACCCTATGCAGACATTTGCTGTTTGCAGCTGTGTTATAATCTATTCCGGAAGGAACTGAACTGTCCTAATCAGCATGTCCTAATTCAGAGCATTTTAAAAAACAAAAAAAAAGGACAAGAGGTAGTGATGAATTTTTGTTATGTTCATTAATTAAGACCCCCATTTTTATGTTACAATGACTCCCACTTTCACTGCTATTTATCTTCCTACCATTAGAAAAACCTGAACCATCATGTGAGAACAAGCACTGCACAATACCCTTGCAACAGCCAACTCTACACATAGAGGATAAAGATCCAATCCCTGAAGAACAGGTAAAGGTTTTATAGGGCAGTAACATGAAAATAGATTTTATATTTTGTATAAAGAAATTCTTTTCTTTTTTTCTTTTTTTGCTATCTGTGTGCAGATATGAGTTTTATATACAATACTTATTCTACTGAAAAGTCATTTCTAATGCAATTAGCAGTTATCTGTAGGCTTGTATTGTACCAAATAGTGGCACTCCCAGCTATAGTCTACATAACTTTGACTGTAGTCCTTTAGGTGCTAAACTGGAAGAAGTCGCATATATTGCAATGAGAATTTCTTTTAAACAGACATGTATAAAATTGAATTGCTGCTCATATCCAGAGCTGGATCATCATAAATATAGAAAGACCTAAATTATTAGATTATTTAAAAATAATGCAAATATTCATTTTGATGTTGGCATATTCTATGCATTTTTGAAAACAGTATAAAATATGTCCTCAGACTTGTTTCTTCACTTCAGCAAAGTATTTGTTGAACTCAAGAAAGATACTTCAATGGATGAATATACACAATATATACTGTATATACTTGAATATAAGTCGAGTTTTTCAGCCCATTTTTAGGCTGAAAAAGTCGTCCTCAGCTTATATTCGAGTCAAAGTTATTTATTATTTTACTGTTATTATTTTTATTATATATATTATTTTACTCATTATTATTACTACATTTACATTATTTTACTCTATTATCATTGTTAATACATTTATTATTTTACTCTGTTATTACATTTATTATTTTTCTCTATTGTTGTTATTACATTTATTATTTTACCTTATTATTAGTACGTTTCCATTATTTTACTCTCATTATTATTAAAAGGATACGTAAGCACATTTAGTTGGACAGTCTTAAATTACAGTTTTATGTAAATATTCAAAAACTTTTAACCTACTCAATTAATGTAATTTTATTGGTATCTACTTTTATTTTGAAATTTACCAGTAGCTGCTGCATTTCCCACTCTCAGATTATACTCGAGTCAATATATTTTCCCAGTTTTCTGTGGTAAAATTGGGTGCCTCGGCTTATAATCAAGTATATACTGGTATTTTAACAAATAACTCTTTAACTTTTCCAATATCAGCTTATTAATGTTTTTCTCTTACCATCCTTTTTTAATTTTTTTGGTAGCAGTCCTACCACAATTCCTGCTGTCATTTCTGTAACTTTTGACTTTCGGGCAGGAAGGATTACATATTTATATGATGTTTGAATAAGTTCCATGTTATGTTATTTGTGGTCCACAGCTGACCCAGAAGGCTTGTTTGTATAAGATCCAATATGTGTTTGCATAGCTATACACATACAGTCTGCAAATTCCAGCTCTTAATAATTTTGTGCCAAAGTAGTAGCACAAATATTGTAAATCCCCAAAGATTCTGGAAATTAGAAATTTAGGGATCAGAAACAAGAAAACGCAATTTAAAGTTTTACAAGTTTAACTTTCAGAAACTGTTAAATACCTTTTAGCTTTAGAGGGTGGGATTTTCTTTCCTAAAATCAACAGCCATCACATTAATTGGTATCTGTCATAGTTACGAGTGTTAGATTAGGTCTAAAGAACCATGCTGGGATGGAAAAGAGCAACAAGCTTTGCTTGTGAATTCTTGCATAAGAACTTACAAAATGCTACTTCTGGTTTTGTTCCCTCTTATGCAAGTGGGGACATAATATTTGGAATAAATTCAACCTTTATTGCACAACAGTCTAGTACAGGGGTCCTCAAACTAAGGCCCGGGGGCCGGATGCGGCCTCCAAGGTCATTTACCCGGCCCTCGCTCAAGGTCAATCTAAGTCTGAAATATCTTGAAAGCACACAACAACAACCCTTTCTCATCGGCCAAAAGCAGGCCCACACTTCCCATTGAAATACTAATAAGTTTATATTTGGTAAAATTGTTCTTAATTTTAAGTATTGTATTGTTTTTAAGTGATTTTTTCAGTACAAATAAAATATGTGCAGTGTGCATACGAATTCATTCATTTTCTTCAAATTATAAACTGGCCCTCCAACAGTTTGAGGGACTGTGACCTGGCCCTCTGTTTAAAAAGTTTGTGGACCCCTGGTCTAGTAGCTGAGCACATTTCCTCCTGGGCAAGGACATTTTTTGGATTCAGCCCATTATTAATTGCATACATCCTTGATGTAAAGAATGGATGTGGTCATAACTGACATATTTCTGATATTCCTCTTGGTGCAGTAATGCCAGCTTCTGCTGCTCATACTTCACAAAATACTACTTATATAATAGCTAACCCAGAAGTGGTTGTTAAAATACTTCAATTAAGATGATAAAAATGGTTATTAATTGCATTTTGGTATTTGCTGTATTTTATGTAATGCAACATTTTTACTGTCAAAAATAAACCATCACTGTTAGTCATTGTTACGAAGACAAACATGAATGAATGGTGTCACTGTAGACTTGTGCTAATTGGAGAACATTTGTATTATGCTGCAGTATATATGTTTAAAGAAGTCTTTAATCTGTGTGATCAAGACTAGTTAAGAAGGAAAATGAATATTGGGCATTTTAGTCACCTTGGATGTAAACCTGTGCCAAAATTTACTAAAGAAGGCATGTAACCTTGGAGGCTATTTTAAATGGCAACCACTCCTGTATCCCTTTGGTCTTTTAAATTTACTGGAATCCAGATTTTCTAGTTTGAATAAATGACATTTCTAAGTATCTGTGTCTTATAGGATTTGAAAAATATGCACTTAAAAAAAGATGTTTGTTGATTTTTTCCTTCTCAGGAACTTGAAGCCTATGTTGATGATACAGATATAGACAGCGAATATAAAGGGGATGACTTTTACTACTTTTCCTTGGAAGACAGAGAGAGACAAAAACGTGAAAGAGAGGAATCGAAGAGAGTGCTGCAAGAACTAAAATCTGTGTTAGGATTTAAAGCTTCTGAGGCAGAAAGGCAAAAGTGGAAGCAACTTCTATTTAGTGATCATGGTAAGTATTGTTTATTATTTTTAATTCCAGAAAAAACATTTATGCAGCTGTATTTTGATTGCAGATATGATTTTTCATTTATTAGCTTTTGTCTCCTAAAGCAGCTTACGCTGCCTGTTAAAACAATATCTAATCTATCTGTCTATTTACACACATAAAAGGTAAAGGTTTTCCCCTGACATTAAGTCCAGTCATGTCCAACTCTGTGGGTTGGTGCTCATCTCAATTTCTGAACTGAAGAGCTGGCGTTGTCCGTAGACACCTCCAAAGTCATGGCTGGCATGACTGTATGGACCACTGTTACATACACACACACGGATTATAAAACAATCCTCTTATAAATATTAATTTAGAACAGTTAAAACACAGTTACCAAACTACATTAGAGCTCTTAAGTTCTAAATTAGTATACTACATTGATGCAAACAGTACATGACTGTATTATAGGAAGACAAGGCTTTTAGGGATTGTATAACTAGGCACAATGGCAATGGGTACAACCCAAATGTGTACCCACTGTTCCCCCCCCCCTTTTATTGCAAATATTAAGAATAATAATTGATCAGCATATAACATAAAAGGTGGAAATATTTCAGAGCTTGGAAAGTTAAAGAAGAATCAGCATAACAAGCTGAAGCCATCAATAACAGTTATTGTAGGTTGGCTCTTATTTGCCTGAAAGCATCATACTAGTGTTGCTTAGTTCTGAATGGCTTCAGCATGTCTTTGTATTTCTTCTTCCTAAAATTCTTTTCTGTGCTCTACATATATGATGGTGGCATTATCTCTTCATGCTGATGGTACTTTCTCTGATACTCCAGTTCTTGGGGCTGGTCAAAAAAGGACTTTGTTACCGTGAAAAGCCTCAGTGCTTCAAGATTGTTTTTTAAAGACAAACACTCTTGATTCAGGCGCTCAAACACAGCACAAAGTAGCAAGCAAGGGATTATCAGATCACAATCTAAAACAGGCATACGCAGTAACAAACAATATGTTCTGTTCATTAGATTTTTCTAGTATTTTATCAGCTGCATCCTGCTTAAATTTTAATAATAACACATCCCAAGTATTTTATGTAAATCATTCACATTTTGGGGATACATACATATACATAGGACAGTAGTTGTTACTTACTATCTCTAGTTTCCAGTACAGTGTTTATTCAAGAATTACATTTCCTTTAAAATATAGTTGTCTGTTCAGGTAAATTAACTTTAAACCAAAGTTGTCCTATGATATTATAGACTATTTGGAATAATCAATTGTTCATTTTACTCTTAAGCTGCAGTGAAGCACCTGCCTATTGCAAAATCAGGGGAACCCATAAATACTTCGGAGTTGTCTCTGAATTCAGAGTCAGAGAAACAGCATTGTATCCAAAACTTGGAGGAGACTGTGTATAACCAAAAGCTAGAAGCCTCTGACAAAGAGAAAAGTAGGACGGAATACCTATCTGATGGGTCTTGTGTGAATAATAAAAATGACGTAGCTGCTAATGGTAACTCACCAGAAAAAAGGACATGTTACCAATGCAATGGAGAAGGTGACGAATCTGAGCTGACAGATGTGGACAAAATGAACGTGTTGCAGCTAACTGACAGAGATGTGTTACAGTCCTCCATCAAACAACGGCTGGCTGATCTTCATATATCAACAGATTTCAATTTTGCATCTGGTATAGCAGCACAGGTTGCTGCAAAGTCACTTACCTTTGCAAACATGCAAGAACAAACATTTGGAAATGAGGAAGAGGACGAGGAAGAAACACAGGAGGATGAGGAGTTTTTTGAAAAACATAAAGGAGAAGGAGACAACTGTAAAAATGAAAGCTTATAGAGTTCAACCAGGCACTGCCTTGCTTATCTGAACACCACAAAGTTTGTGAGATAACAAAAGAAACTCATACAGCCATTCAGAACTGAAACACGTAATGGCAAATACGGGATAACATGTCCTTTCATCGTGGTATCAATTGGACTTCACTGGTCTTTTGAAAAAATATGTATGTATAAACATGTAAGTATAAACTAGACTCAAAGGGTGTAGTCTGGTTCTCACAGGCCCCATGGAGTAAATTTCTTTTAATATTTTATTTTTATTTATTTATATTATTATTATAAGGATTTTTCCCTTAAAAGCAAACATCTTCGTTGTCATCTTCTAAATGTTATAAATAGCAACCTTCATTATAAAACTTGAACTGATTCACAAACAAGAACATAAACAACCATGGTGTTCTCTCTGAAGGCTTTATTTTCTCTATTGTATTTGGATTGTATCACTTGTTTTTCTTCATCTGATGGTTCATCAGGCTTATAGCCTGGACTCTTCAGTTTAAAAAATGAAAGCCATAGCAAGAATAACCTGGAATGTTATTTCAAACTAATACAAAGCTGCTAATAGGAGGTTACAAAGCAAAACTAATATATTTATTTTCTTGTATATGAATATCTGGACGAGTGATAATAACTTCTACCATTATTACATTCACAGTGAGTTTCCTATACTCTCAAATCCTCCCTAGCTAGGTCTCATAAACCACACTTTTGCACAGAGAAATGGAGTAGATTTTTTAAAGTCTTCTTTTCAATGCCTTTATCTTTTTGCTCTCTTGTGTAGATGATTACAGTTTTATTTTTGAAACAGAGTAAGTGGTACTTATGCATTTACACACCAAATATACCTCTGTGAAATTTTATTTGGATACTTATTCCATTATTTCATTTTCACTCTGTTCTGCAAGTATACTTCCATATACAGCACTTCTCTTTCTGTTGTTAAAGAGTACAGTGTTTACTTTAGCTATCCCAAATATCAACAGTGGTATTGTAACAGCTGCTAAGTGTAGCATCAACAACTTCTGTGTGACATGTTGATTTTTAGAAATAAATGTACATGAAGGGGACGGCAGGATTTTATTGACTTAAAGACAGTTATATTGCAAGTAATAATGGTTAGTTGCAATATAACTGTTCCAGGATCAGTAAATTTTTATACTTTTCCTAAGGCTTTTCAAAAACGCATACTTGTCTTCATGAAAGGATACTTCCTCCTTTATAACACAAAAGGATTCCTGCTGGAAAATGTTATACATTTGATTAGATTTCTAGTACATAGACAAAGGCTGCTCTAAATGTTTGGGTCCTTTTAAGGTGCCTGTAAATGTACAATATCTGAAATTGTATTGTAGGCTCAGCATTGCCATATCAAACTTTCTAGTTATTGGGAGAAGAACTTGTTCTTTTTCTGAGCTTACCACACTATCAAAATGCATTTGTGAACATCTAGTAGGGTACATAGAATGCACAGGGAAGGCAAATATCTTGACCGTAAGTCCCTTGCCAGCAAAGAGGTTCTGTAACTTCGATTTGTTGTTGTATGTCTTCAGGTCATTTCCAACTTATCATGACTCTAAGGAGCTAATCACATAATCTTTTCCCACCATTCCCTCAGTTCTATTTTGTTGCTTAAGATATATCTAGCACATTATGATCTGCCTTCAACTTGGATGCACTGACCATTTTGCCCTTTTGAGATTTGGATCTTCTTCCCTACAACTAATTACTATATAGTCAATATATTGAATACGGTCAAACCAAAGTCCACTGTTAGTCCATGCCCATCATCACTTCAAGGTGATTTCCCCACCACCACCTCTAGCAACATTGGAAGGCTGCTTCCAAAATCAAACCCTTTTGCTGATTTATGCTTTCCTTCTTCATGTAACAGAATATAAGAGCATAAAGGCACATCCTGCCATCGTGTTCTTATCTTTCATTAATGTGTAATGTGGTTATTGATATATTGTATGTTTTTGTAGACTGTTTTTACATGTTGTACACCGCCGCGAGTCGCCCCAGGGCTGAGAGCGGCGGTTAACAAATGAAGTAAATAAATAAATAAATAAATTTCACTGTGGAATTTTAACAATTGATGAGAGTAGAGGTGCTCTCTCCCGATAATAATAAAAGTGAGCAGGCGCTAAGCTTTCACAGGCATTAAAGTAACCTCAGACTGATAAATTGTACTTAGTTATCAGTGTGTTCTCTAAATACAACACTTCTTGATCAGAAAGACTTGTACACCATCTATAAAATATTGATTCTCACATTAAAATCTTTTATCTTTAGTGTCAAACCTATCAACATGTATGTGGTTCTATTATCTCAGCATAGTATGATTATGCAGAAAAACAAAAGAACCCTGCCCTTTTTAGAAAACACAGAAAACAACCATGTAATTAACTTGAGAAACAAATATGGATGTTTATTTTAAATTGAACTCTCTGATAGCATAATCATGATAAAAATTAGCTGTAAATAGAATTAATTCAGAATCTATTTTTTACTAATATACATCTCAGTAACTAATGTAACTACTAACCAGAGTTAGTAAGACTTTAGTCTTACTTCCAGCCTTTGACTCCAACCCCCATAATTTATTTTCACATGATGGCTTGGAATAATGGGAATTGTATTCCAAAGCATTTGGAGAGAGTACCAGGGAATGCTGCAGTTTGGAACTGAAAGTCATAAATCCCTCCCTTTCAGTTTTTCTCCAGCCATCATTTCCAGTACTTCAGGAGCCAAAAACCCGCATACACTGTATGTATCTAGCAAATTGTGTGAACATTGACATCAATCATAAGAACCTTGTAAGGACCATAACCCAGACGAGTACAAAGATGTAGGAGAACTCTACTGTAGGGAAATGGCCTATCAGACCTATAAAATTGCATGTTAATGGCTCCTAGCTTCCAAGTACGTTTGATGATGAAAGTCACAAAAATGTTTACCCAATGGTTTCTAAAGTTCTTATACAGAAATCTCAAGTTACTTTTTAAGTTGGGAGAGATGTGAAGAACAACAGGAGAGATCTCTTGAGAAGCATGTTCTGGAAGAAATCCTCAGCAAACTGGGGGGCAAACATTTCCTTTCAGATCACAGTAATTTCAGATCTATTGGAATCCCACTCTGATGGATTTCGGATAATGATGTGCCTGGTGTAAGAACAGTCTAATTAATCTAAATCAGGCATCCTCAAACTGTGGCCCTCCAGCTGTTTGGGCCTTCAACCCCCAGAATTCCTGACAATTGAACAAGCTCGTTAGGGCTTCTGGGAGTTGGAGGCCCAAACAGCTGGAGGGCTGCAGTTTGAGGATGCTTGATTTAAATCCAGTCCACCAGGATAATCTAAGATCTCAAAACTGTATTTTAAATGCTTCCTCCCAAAGAACTGCCTTTGAAAACAGATCACTAAGAAGTACTTCAGTATTTGATAACATATCTGGCATCTGTCTCATGAAAGTTCATTCGTTTTATGAATATTCCACTCTCAAGAGCCAACAGTCCTTTGATCATCAACCATCTCCAGACATCTAACCAGCAAATAGATAGTTGCCTGTGTGCAATTTGATCCATGCCTTGTGTTTGCGCTTTCAAGAGAACAAAGTTTTAGACACTCCAAAGAAAGACTGATCACTAATCATGAGATATTTGTATATAAATCATCTTGAATTATTTCTACACGTAAGATCTTGGGTGATCTTGAAAAGAGAAATGGTTGTGGCATTCAGTAGTGAGCACAACCAGAAGTCTCAACCTATCATTTTCTGTGAAGTTTTTATTTTATATTTCTTTATCCCTACCTGTCAGTAGCATAACAAATGAATCTAGAAATATCATAAGCATCAAGAAGTATCTTCAGAAATTCTTCCTTGACTGTTTTCAGAGTCGGTCTGCAGACTACTCTCAATAGAACTGAAAAGCAGAGACAAAACCCACAATGAAAATGTAGCCTCATCACTTTTATAATTTAATATTCATTGAATAATGTTCCGTTTAGAGCATTAAATGTTTGACACAGACCAACACAGACCAACAATTTGTAGCAAGCTTTGTATGAAGTTTATATGTTTTATCTTACTAGGTGCTTCATTAAGAAGCTGAACAAGTAGACGAGTTTGCTATGTTGGCCGCAACTGACAAACCAATGTCCCAGCTGTTAAAATATATCACCAATTTCTATTCCAGGAATCTGGAACTTTTAGGTCAGAAGATGCACACATTTCTTTGCCAAAGGGTTAAGCATTCACTTTTCTATCAGAGTACAATCCAATGCAATGCTAGAATTAAGACTCACTGACGATAATAGTCTTTCTGAGTTAGCAGCACTATTCATTGCATATTTATACGTTTAATCCAAGGGGCCAGCTTTACTAAGGACTTACAGATACTTTCTGGCAGTATCTTAAACCTCTGCCCTTCCAGCTGTTGTGAGTTCCATTGTGATTTGACTTTTGGGACCTGGACACTCAAGTTGCACCATTTTAGCCTCTTAAGTGTTGGAAACATAGATTTTAAGTCAATATTCCAGTACTGAATATATTTTCATTTGAACATTTTTTGAATGCTTTTGGCTTTGCTTTCTCCTTTCACTCTATATAGGAGACTATTACAGATGAAGCTGGGGACTGAGAAAACTACACAGTGAGCCCCACATTCATATTACTTTTTAGCTGAACAACCTGGTTACTTCATTTATATTAACCTGAATGAATCACTCTGTGTATGTTCTATTGCTTTAAAGTTTAGTACAACCAAACTTTAAGATGCTCTTTGATGCTAATTGTAGTTAAAAGCACGCTTTGATTAAAGTCACTGCAAATTCACAGGCTCAAAAGGGTAGAACCTTGAGTAACCATTTCGAAAATGTTTCAGGATTTTTTACTTAAGGTGTTTTATTATAGAGTTCTTGCATAGTTGGTCTTTAGCATTTCTATTTGGTCTTTTCTACCCTTCTTGGCATATTCTGGCCAACACTGTTTCTTCTTCTTTAGCATCCGTACTTCAGAATCAATGGTTAAGATCTGTCTTTCTTCCTTATAGTACTTTTTGTACAATGTGCAGTAAAATAGCTGATGAGAGGGGCATACTTTATCAGCACTGCAGGTATTTATCTATTAATATAGATGCTTGTTTATAATTTGACTTTCCTCTGAAGATTAATCTCTTGCTAAATGATCTTGGCAATGGCTAGTTTATGCAGCGTACAGTGCTGGCTCACTGTTGCAGGCACTTTACTAATGAATGTTGGGTTACTCCTGTCCATATACTTGCTGACTGAAGTGAGATTGGGTATTTGCAATTCCTCCTCTTGCATTAGTTCCAAGGGACACCTTTAATGATCCAAATAAGGTCTTCATGGCTCTGCACCAGTCCAAGAGGAACCTTTTTGTAGGGTTGCTGCAAAAAAACTTGCTAGTCAAGAATTGTAAGGGCTTATCAATAGAGAGAAATAGGCAGCAGCTGATGAAACTGAGGGTGCATACTGGTAACACAAAAAGATAATCTAAGGAAGGTTTTGTCCCAGGCCTCCCTGGTCTTCAGAGATGTCCCATGCAATATTGTGCTTCTTTAAGACAAAGGAGTTCATATTTTAAAGTTAAGTACAAAGCAGAAGCCATATTGGCACCTTTTTGCACACCATAAACAGACAAATCGCCTCCAGAAATCAATAATTGCTCCAAAATACACTTTCCCAATCTTTGAAATGTTGTCTGTACACTGCCTCTCCACTATAGTGGCCTGCATCACCTTTGTGGACTTCTCTCTTCAAGTTTAGTCTAAAATTAAATTAATGCATTTGCCCGAGAGGTTCTTCATCAGTATGTTACTCTTAAGCAACTCCCTGCTGCTTCTGCTGCTCTTGGTTACTAGGAGTGGAATTTCACATATAATTATGACATTATACTGTTAGGAGCTAATTGTTTTATTTTTAGCAAGTAAACAGGGATGAGGTCTGTTGCACAAAAACTGGCCATTTTCAGTAGGCAAATCTATACAACGTTGAGTTGAGCTGCTTAATTTATGTGACATATTTCATGGAACTAAAGGTCTATTAGCTTCATCCAAAAGCTTGTAAGTTTTTTTTCCCTTTTTTTAGTATTTTGAATGTTTGTCCGATACATTTTCAAATTGTATACAGACAAAAACAAACATTGAGGGAAAGTAATGTGTCCAGATTATCATTCTTTCCTGTGAAAGGAATCACGCTTGGTTCCTGTGCTAACAAGAATGTATGTGTGTATATATATGAGGACGAGATTGTAGCCTTTTAAACAAGTAACTGTTTATTTCTTGTTTCTGAACTTCTCTATTAATTCTTTAAATGCTTGACTTAGATAAGCTGTACTTTTATATGACTTTGACTTTCTCCTGTCTATGATTAAAAACTATATTTCCCTGTTCTTTCTGCTGTTTGATAATGTTGCACTTATTTTTTTGAACACAACTCATTGACTATGTCTCATAAACAAAGTTACACCATTTTAGCCTACATAATTTCTTTTAGATTAACACTAGTTTCCTGGCACGTAACTTCTGATGGTTCAGTAGATTCACATACTGACTGAAAACATATTTAATCATAAACAGTGTACAAAAGTTGATGTACACATGATGGTTTGAAGCATCATAAGTTTGTATTCTAAAATTTTCCCAGTCTTTTGTCAAAACTACAGAAAGGTGGGTTGTAACAAAATTGGGCATTAATAAAAATGATTGCAAGGCTAGTCATGTAGAATATAATACCTGAATTTATAATCGGCAGGTAAATAGTAGCATTTATTGTAGTTGTTCCTTGTTAGGACAATTTGTTTCTGAAGGTCTTTCACAGATTTGCTGTATCCATTGAAAATATAGTTGGCAAAAAGCAGCTTTCCTTGGATGTACATCTGCCAAAAATAAGTAAGTGATCAGGCTTAAGAGGAATGAAAAAAGCACTAAAAATGAGGACATGGCTTGACAGCTGAAATAATCGCCCAGTTCTGTTGACACTTATGAGAGTTGCAAAGGGTGGAAAGGTAACTGTATTTTCCAGAGTGTTTATCTAGTACAGAAGGTGTATAAAGATGGAGTGTCGCTTTCAAAAACACGTTTGCTGCTAAATAATGTTAACTAGGATGAAGTGTTTCCAGTCAAAAAGCAGGATGAGGATTAGTATGTGACAAGCACTTACTTCACTCTTCCCCATCTGCGATGTCTTGCCTGCAACTCATCACTAGTGACCATCTTTTCTCTTAATGTATTTATATAATACAGCTGATTGATACATTTGGAATGGCCACATATTGAATGCAAAGCATTCCTAAAATTTATATTCTGACATATTGTAAACTTAGGAAAACAGGCTAGTTTTGATCATTATGATTTGTACACACATAGTTCAATGATGCTAAATATCAATATCAGGTTCACTCACGCCATGGTGTTTCCAGTTTCTATGTATGATTGTGAAAGCTGTACAGTGAAGAAAGGGAGAAAATAAACTCATGTAAAATAAGATGGTGGACAAATACTACGAACTGCCCAAAGGACAAATAAATGGATCCTGAAGTAATTCAGGCCTGAACGTTCACTTGAAGCCAGACAGACTAAATTGATGCTATCATATTTTGAACCCCTACTTTGGCGGTTTTCAGAAAGAACCTGAAAACTTGGCTGTTCCAACGTGCCTTCTCAGATTAGGAACCCCACTACCAAAGCCCAGAAGCACCTTAGTAGAGTCAAGATCACCTTCACCGCACACTGTACTTATATTTTAATCCCATATCCCTCCGACACTTCAGCACTTTTAACCCTGTACCCCACTCCGGCTGGCTTAGTTTTTAATAATGTCCTGATGTATTGCTATTGCTATTGTTTTTCTGCTTTAACTGTTTGATTTGCTATGTATTGTGTTGTTGTATTGTGTTGGGCTCCGGCCTATTGTAAGCCGCATCGAATCCCTTGGGAGATGCTAGCGGGGTACAAATAAAGTAATAATAATAATAATAATAATAATAATAATATGACTTATTAGAAAACACAATATGTTTAGCAAAGTGGAGGGCAGTAGGAAAAGAGAAATGCTACACTACAGGTACAGTACATTGATTCAGTCAAGGAAGCCACTGTCCTGAGTTTGCAAGACCCAAACTGGGCAACTGATGTTAAGGGCACTCTCATTCATAAGCTTACCATACATCAGCCAACCTGACACTGAATAACACCCCCAATAAACTACAAAGTAAACAACAGGGTTCTTTACCTTTGGAAGGACCTGAACTTGTAGCACAAAACTTACTTATTTTTAAAACAAGTGCTGTTGATTTTATTGGAATCTATGCAGCCTTAATTTTTATGTTCCAGAAAACATCCACAGAAAGGGAATACTTACAATGTGAAAATCGTTTCTAACAGTGAAGAGCAATGTACAATAAAAGCATTTGCTTTTAAAACTATCTTTAGGAAGCTATTTATTACCTGGATCATACTTGGAGCTGTGTCAAAATTTTCGCAACAATATCACTGAAAATTAGCTTGGCATGTGAATATCAGTAAGTGCAGTATATTTCAGAAGCATTTCATTATCCATTAGGATTATGAACTAGAACATAGATTTAGGGGTACATCAATAAAAAGTTGCCTACTACTAATTCCTACATACCAAGTTGATACACTATAGAGATTGTCTCCTTTTGGCATGGCAGACATAGGTTTTGAAGTATAAATTGGGTGCATTTTTTGCAATTATTCTCATCAGAAATTCATATGACCCTGCTCTATCAGACTTTTATCTTCTGGGTGGGGGGAGGAAAAAAAGGATCATCAAACTAACGGTATTACTATAGGTTTGTATTTAGGTAAAGCTCCTAAATGGAGAGACTGCTGGATTAGAGAAAATCTAGAAAGAGGGCAGGGGAAGGATGATTCTGTTGAAGTTTTTACCAACGCCTTCCATGGAAGTTGAGCAAAGTCTTGACATAGCTATTTCTCCACCATGTACTCTCTAAACCCAACGTCCAAAGGATTATTGGGAAATAGGAAGCAGCATAAACAACTAGTTTTTTCAGTGAAGACAATCAGCTCAGATAAACCAACTTCAATAAATAATTGAACTTCCAGTTTCTAATACTTTGTTATTTTGTTTTTGCACAATACCTCACTAATACTTTAGAATAATGGTTATTTGTCAGATGTGTGCGTGCATGCGTGGAAACTATACTTAATATAGAAAACATAGTCTTATGCTTTCTACAAAAGTCCCGTTCTCAACTTGATGGGATTTTCTGCCGTGTAGATATGCACAAGATTTGGACAGCCACATATAAAACTTAGATTTGACATGTTCTCACGAAACCCTGAATTGACTTTTTACATATTATGTACCATTTCTGTTAATGATATATTCTGTGTTGTTGTAAGCAGGCATAACCACTGGATCTATTATTATAAAAGGGAGTCAAGTTGAATGCTTTAGAATCTGGAGCAACAGGTTCTAAGGAAACTGCCTGACAGTCAAAAGAGGTTGTATTACATCAAAATAGAAAACTTTGTTTATAGATCAATGGGATGTCAAACTGTGGAACGTGAGCCCTCTGCTGGGGAAATGTTCACATCACAATTTATTTGCATTATCTCTATATTACTCATATCAGGGCATTTCCTAAATATTCTAAAGGCACCAGATCTTGGAAGCTGAGCAGGATTTGCCCTGGTTAGGATTTGAATGGGAGACTGCAAATATCAGGTGCTTAAACTATGTTTCATGAAAACAAATGGCAAATCCACCCCTGAGTATTCTTTGTCTAAGAAAACTCCATGAAACTGTATAGGGTTGTCATAAATCAACAAATGATTTGTAGCACACATACACCTATAAAGTAACAGCTAAGAAAATACTTTTTTGTGGGTGACAATAGGAACCCTGGATGAACTCTGAAGATCTTTTCTCTCCAAAGCAAGATGATATCTTGATGTGAGTTATTTCTGCACCCTATTTCAGTAGATCGGGGATATATCTCTACTTATTTTTTCTCTTATCATTCTCAGACATTCACAAAATATTACAGCACGAGAACACCTAAGAATTGATTATATGTTTAAAGGATAATTTAAAAGGGCGTTACAATATGTTTCTTCTCTATAGAAAATACATACACTTGAAATAAATAAATGTTATTAAAAACAAATTTTGGCAAGCAGCTATAATTTTACTTTTGGAATATAAAACATCAGCCTATCCTACCTCACAGTCTTGGAAAAGCAAACATACCATCTGCAAGGTACTGCATCAGAACAACGTGAAAGAGAAGGACATTGGGATGTAAAGACTACATAGATACATGTACAGTAGAGTCTCACTTACACAACATAAACGGGCTGGCAGAATGTTGGATAAGCAAAAACGTTGGATAATAAGGAGGAATTAAGGAAAAGCCTATTAAATGTCAAATTACGTTATGATTTTACAAATTAAGCACCAAAACATCATGTTTTACAACAAATCAACAGAAAAAGCAGTTCAATACCCGGTAATGTTATGTAGTCATTACTGTATTTACGAATTTAGCAACAAAACATCACAATGTATTGAAACAGCTGTGGATCCAGGTGGGAGGCAGACTGTGTTGGATAATCCAGAACATTAGATGAGTGAAGGTTGGATAAGTGAGACTCTACTGTATTGGTAGATTTTCAATTTCCTTATTTCAGTAGCATTTCAAATTACCAGAAGTCAACATTGACCTCTTTGGACCCTGGTTCTGGTACATGCATAAGTCTGGTTTCCCACTGGCAGCCCTTCAATTGAAAAAGATAAATGAGTGCAAATAAACAGAAGTGACAGATAGGATAGCCATCACCTACCAAAAACATTCCAGGCCGAACGTTATGGCTTTTCAACAGTAATGAACCACCATGGCCTGTAAATTCATCTGCCGAGTTGATATCATATTTAAGCAGCCGAAAAGAATCCAGGCGGCCCTAGAGAAACACAAGTAGTAATCATTAAAGGAATATACCAGTGTCAGCAACAACAAATTTGATCAGCTGTTGACACAGTCTTCCCACCGATCAAGGCATCAGTAAGAACATTTTCTTATCCTACTCTTTGCTGCTCATACAGGCAGCTGGCCCAATAATTTGACTAGCTGAGGAATATCACTGATTGCCAAAATACTTCCATGCATAACAAATATATGTCACTTATTGTTTCTTGTTCACTTGTAGTTCCAGTGCCAAGAGGCTATTGCAGGTAAGAGGAGCAAGACACCAATACAATATATTTGGAGATCCAAAGACATGTATTTAGTCATAACAACAACATGACTGGCTGTGGATCCTACTATCAGATAATGTCCCTGTCATCCATTGACATTAATTGACAAGAGTTGGTGGGACAATAAAATGTGCACCAATGCAAACTGCAACATTTTGGCAGCCATATTCTGGCCTTTTCTTTCACCTTAACATTTGTCTTTAACACACTGGGAGAATCAGGAGTTACATGCAATCCACATGTAATGACGTTGCTCTCATTTCTGAAGTAGATGCCAGTAAGTTAACACCTATGCCAGTAAATTGAAATTCTAACTTACAGTGTGTAATTATTTGAGGACTACAATACTGAACTTGGAGAAATTAATTTTTTTGAAATCACAACTCCCAAGAGTCCCTGTGCCAGCATGACAATTTCCTCACTCCAGAACAGTGTTTTTTGATGGTCTTTGGTGACCCTCTGACACCCCCTCATGACCGACCCCCAGGTTGAAAAACGCTGCTCTAGAAAATCCAGACAAGCAACTGAACATAAAACATCATTGCTTCTGCACTAGACATATGCATGACAGGGATATCAAGACTGGAGAGGCCCACCTGGGTGCAAGGCATACTTCTGTTCTTATTCCTCCTCTCATAGAGCCAGTCCAGGTGCTCATCTGACACAGGGTCATAAGCTGTTCCCAGTGAAGCTGCTATACAGACCACAATGATTTGCTCTGGGGAAGATACTTGGTTGTTAATAATGTGATCGTACTCCAGGTCTGTAACATATGGAATCTGATAGTTGCTGCATCTGCATGTCTTTGTTTCATGTCCCAACATTGTTCTTCGAAGGGCCACTGGACAGGCAGCGTAGAAACTACATAGTAAGAAAAGAATTGCACAAACAAGTTTTAAGTTGGAGCAGAGTTGAAATAGCAATAGTGTTACTAGTTCACACCTATTTCAATTTCCTCTGATTTCCAATTAATTAAAAGGTTGCTTCAAAAATGATCTCTTAGGCTGGATCTATTCTGCCCTTTATCCCAGGATCTCATCCCAGATTATCTGCTTTGAACTGAATTATATGAGTCAACACTGTCATATAATCTGGGTTAAGAAGATAATCTGGGATCAGATCCTGGAATATAGGGCAGCCTAGAAGGGGCCTCAGAGTACTTTGATTATCTTGCTTCTTCCACTTTACCTCCTTTGCACATACTTCACTCCATCTCTTGTTTAATTAAAGGTGCTCCAATATGTTGCTAGTATCTATGGCCTGTGGCGAACTGGCCAGGGTGATCTCTTAAACATTAAACAGTACATTAAAAATGTTAATAGCCTTTTAGTAGTTTGAAAATATAATAGAAGTTCCTTTTTTCCACTTAATGTATTTTAAAATTTATTTATTTCTTATAAAAATGAAATGATAGCCTTGTAGTTGTGGGAGGGTCTTTTTTTTTTTAGGAAGAAATTGAAGTCATGGTTCTTGGACCAGGCTTTTGGACAACAGAAATAGATAGCACTTTGGACATGGAATTGGATATGGAGTTGTCTGGAATGGTGATACTGCTATTAATACTGTTTTTTACTGTTTTAATGAATGTTTTACTTATTGTTTTAATTGTTATTATATTATATTACTCTGTTATATATAGTGGCATTGAATTGCTGCCAAATGTAAGCCGTCCTGGGTCCCCCTTTGGGGGTTGAGAAGGAATGGGATAGAAATACCGGAAAAAAATAAAAGGGATTCAAACCCTGCCATCCATAATCGTAGTCCAATACTGAAACCACTAAACCATGCTGGTTCTTCCCACCTCCCCCCAGAGCTGTATACCATTCTTCTTCACTGCAATTTACATAGGATTTCTGTGGAGTTCTCTTTAATTTCAGTAGTTAAATTGCAACATATTAACAAAACAATTTCTTGAATTATAGTTTGAAGGTGCTGGGATATCTTCAAACTATAATTCTCCCTAAGAAAGTGACCTGACTTCTAAACCAATTTGTGCCTCTAGTCTTTAGATGCCCATTATTTTTCTCTTTCTTGTGAACTACCTTCCCCGTGTATAAACCTTCCTGGAAAGCTTTCTTTGGGCCTTTATCCATTTATTTTTACTGCTTGGCAATGCCTAATACTAATTAAGCCACCTTTAACAGACCTCACAACCTCTGAGGATGCCTGCCATAGATGTGGGTGAAATGTCAGAAGAGAATATTTCTGGAACATGGCCATACAGCTCGGAAAACTCACAGCAACCCATCTTTAACCATTTCCTTGTTATTTTTCCTTTAAATAATATCTTGCCTTCTTCTCCCTTTATGTTAATAGCACACAAGACTCGAATGACATTAAATATGTATTAAGAACATAGTATGGAATTTAGTTCAGCATTGCAATTTAATATGAAACATTGTCCAATAAGTGATGTAAAAAACTGAAAGTCAAAGGTGAAATCACTCAGATGGAAAGGTGTTTCTTATATGAATCAAAACCTAGGAAGGTTTTGACCTGTCGCAAGGCTGACACAGATATTTGTGGAGGGGTAAAGCAGACAAAGAAAAGAATTTCAGAAATCATCCAACCAGAGCTGCCCTCCTTCAAATATGGAACAGGTACAAAGATAGACTATACAGCAAGACTCCCCTCTGGTATTCACCCAATGAAGCGCAACACCTGAGGGAATTACCTAGAGAAAAATGGTTAACGTATGCCCAGCTTTTAAAAATAAATTTCCGAGAGACAAAACTAAAATCCCAGGAAGAACTAAAACAAATAGACAAAACCATTTCATGGTTCCAAATATCAACAAATACTAGAAAATTTCAAAATAGATGTTAAATTGGGATTTCAAACACAGGAAAATTTCTGGGACAAGATAATAAAAATAGAAACCAAGTTAATTAAAAGAATATATCAACAATTGCTAATATGGGCAACGGAAACGGAGCAGGTAAAAGGGAATATGATCCAGTGGTCAAGAGATATAGGAAGACCAATAAACATGACGGAATGGGAGGAAGTCTGGCGCCAAAAAAATCAAATATACCTATGCATCCGAGATGAAAGAGAACTGGTATAAATCTTTTTACAGATGGTACCTTACACCTGACAAGATAGCTAAGTTCAGCAGAGGAAAAATTAAAGGTACATGCTGGAAATGCGGAAAGCATAAAGGAAATTACATCCACATGTGGTGGAAATGCAGTAAGATAAAAAGTTTCTGGCACGAGATTAACAAAATAATAGAACTAATAATAAAGGAAAAAATAGAACCTAAACCAGAGGCAATGCTATTGGGAATTATAGGTTCCATCAAGGATAAAAATTCGGACAAACTATTCTTTTATTTTACTACAGCTGCAAGAATAGTAATAGCCAGAGTCTGGAAATCTAAGGAGACCCCCACTGTGGATCAATGGTTGTTAAAAGCATGGGATATAATGAACATGGACATACTAACTCAAAAACTATCTCAGAATATATCGAGACCAGCCAGGACCGATTGGACAAACTTTATAGAATATATTAAAGGGTTGAATAACGAAATTTATATCAGTATCGTATAGTAAGGAATCTCAAGGGAATATCAGTAAGAAACCGGCGAATAAGTGACAAACATTATAAGGGACAAAGCAATGTCCACTTCGTAATCACCTGCCCAGAAACTCCTGGAAGTATTTTAAGGACACTTGGGGTTGCAATTAAGGTGGTGGGTATGGTTAAGTTTTCACTGAACCCTCCCCCTCTCCCCCCTCCCTACATATTGTAATTTCTCGGCAACAAATTATTGCATTACCAATTTCAATGATAAAACATTGTTCTTACCCCTTTTGTGAACCCAATTCTCCCCCCCCCCTTCCCCTTTTACCCTCATTACTTCCCCTCTTTCTATCAGCTCCTCAAAGAGCAACATATTCTAAATAAAAAACATTTTTTAAAAAAAAAACCTAGGATGATGAGAACCAAGAACAGTTGCATATGTTTCTTGGCCCATGCAGGTAATCAGATGAACAGAAGATAAAGCTCAAATTATAATAATGATTTGAAGAGTTTCAAAATAAATCACTACTGAAAAGAATGGAAGATAAAATATGTCACAAGGAAAGGAAGTACTAAATGTGAGAGTTTGATCATAGAATCATAGAGTTGGAAGAGACCTCGTGGGCCATCCAGTTCAACCCTCTGCCGAAGCAGGAAAATTACATTCAAAGCACTCCCAACAGGTGGCCATCCAGCCTCTGTTAAAAGCCTCCAAAGAAGGAGCCTCCACCATACTCTAGAGCAGAGAGTTCCACTGCTGAACAGCTCTCACAGTTAGGAAGTTCTTCCTCATGCTCAGGTGGAATTCCTTTCCTATAGTTTGAAGCCATTGCTCCACGTCCTAGTCTCCAGGGCAGCAGAAAACAAGCTTGCTCCCTTCTCACCATGACTTCCCCTCACATATTTATATAGGGATTACTTAAGAGAAGCTTTTGATAATTGAAGGAATTACTTAAGAGAAGGTTTTGACTGACAAATTCATGATTATTAAGAGAGAAATAAAATAATACAGACCAACATTTTCCCATTTCTAAGAGAAGAACCTTGTCTAATTAACAAGATTTTTCATGCATTTCTGTGAATACCAATTGTGCTAAGAGCAAGGGTTTTCAAGGCAAAAAGCCAAAAAAAAAAAGAGCTCTAATATGAACAGAACATAAATAGTATAATTCCCACAACAACAAAAACAGCTGCGTGTTTAAAAGTCTAACACATCTGCATAGCTTTGATGCTTTTTCTGGTCTTTTGTGTGCTATGATAATCGAGCTGAACATATTTTGAAGACAGTGTGGATATTTGAGACTCTCTGTCACTGGATAACTAGAGATAAGATTCTGGGAAATGCTGCCGAAAGTAATACTAGGAGGCAAAAAACTTTTGTGGTGCAACCAGAAAAACGGGCTGGCAAGACTCCCGTGGGTCTACCAGCAAAAACTTGATCCCTCATCCATAGACTGGTGACCTAGCTACACAGGAACAGGCTTGTTTACTCCAGCTTTCCAACTGCTACAATATTGTGGAACTCATGAGAACAGCAATCAGCAAACTCCAAGTTAGGTTTACCGAATATATTTATGCATGAGGAATGAAATATATTTTTTAATTTCAGACATTGAGAGTAACAGGTAAGGGTCTCACAGGAAAAGGGTTGCAGGATTTGAGTTTATGCATAAGTGGTTCTGCTGGAATCACAATGTTGTTAAGTAGTTAGGATATTGAATGAGGTCTGGAAAGAGCTACACTGAAATCTTCTCTCTGCTATATAGACTATTGGGTGTCTTTGACCATGTTGCATTGTCAGGATAGACAAATGGGGTGTATAGAACTAGCTATGTTGCCCTGAGCATCTAGGAACAAGGGCAGGACCTGACTATAAATAATAAATTACAGTTGGAATATATTACATGGTTCCAACTGTTATTTTTTCTCTATTCTTTGAAGAGATGGACACAGAGAGGTAATGAACATGTATTTGAGGTAATAATGAGGCTGCAGTCCTATATCCACTGGCCTGGGAGTGTGTTCCATTGAACACAATAGGTGGACATGTATGAACTATACTGCAAGTAATACACTTGAGTAAAGAGTGAGGGCCAGATATAGCTCATTTATTTATTTACAGTACTTAAATTCCACCCTTCTCACCCCAAAGAGGACTCAGCGTGGATCACAGAACACATACACAGCAAGCATTCAATGCCAATTATACAATCACAAGACAGATAGAGATATATTTAGGCTTTTTCTCATCATTTGGCATCTTTTGGGGGCTGTGCTCATTTCTGGCCACAGGAGGTGCTGTTGGTCTATCTCTTTGCCAAAGAGTTTTATTTGTTCATAAACTTTCCTCTGAAACGGCATGCCTAAAATACCTCCCTGCTTAATGTGGTTCATATTCATCTACTCACATTGCTGTTTTCGATCCACTATGTGGGAAGAAGAGCTGGCTGAAGGTCAGGAGCTCACCCTGACCCGGCTTCAAACTGTCAACCTTTCGGTTGGCAAGAATTACTACAGCTGTAGATGGTGATTAACCTGCTGTGCTAAAGCTGGTCCTAGCTCATGGCACCTTCCTAGCAGGTCTAGCAGCTTCTCCTTCTAACATGCAGCAGTTGGGCTTCCCTTCAATGCTCAGTGCAGCAGGAGTGGGTCTGGACGGTTACAGCTTGGGTACAAAACATTAGCCATTCCTATGTACTGCAACTGCCTTGACATAGCATTTAGCACTAGAGTCTGCCACTTATTTAACTCTGATTTGAATTTAGTATCTCTTACCTTTTGGATGATGGAGATGCTGAACGTTCTTTTTTCTTTAAAATTAAGTGAGAAAGGACTGCCTGATTTGTCTTGAAAATGCTGCCCAATAATTGGGGAGCTCTGCAAGTCAAAAAAGCCACAGTTAAATGCAATTTGGAAAGTCAAGCAGAAATGTGAAAAAACTGCGCTATTCTAAAAATATTTTCCCAACTGTATAAAACCCATTTCTAAAGGCTACTTCACATGTTATATCTTTTTTCACAGTGTATACTTAATATTATGAACCCATGCTCCTCTGCACAATTTTAAAGCATAATGGGCCCATTGCTCCTTTCCTAGACATCTTAAGAGAAATACAAGATAAAGGCACATAGTAAACTTTTTCAATTACCCTTATCAGTTATCACAGATCATCACCCACTTTTCTAGAGAGCATACTTCCAAATTGAGAGGCTCTGGTAACTAATCATTTAGAACAGTGGTTCTCAGCCTGTGGGTCCCCAGTTGTTTTGGCCTACAACTCCCAGAAATCCCAGCCAGTTAACCAGCTGTTAGGATTTCTGGGAGTTGAAGGCCAAAACATCTGGGGATCCACAGGTTGAGAACCACTGATATAGAAACAGAGAAAAATCGTACAGTGATTGTACATCTGTCATTTTGGAATATTCTCGACATTTTTTTCCATGTCAGGAGCGACTTGAGAAACTGCAAGCCAGTTCTGGTGTGAGAGAATTGGCAAGAATGTTGCCCAGGGGCACCTGGATGTTTGATATTTTACCATTCTTGACATTGCTTTTAGTTTTCCCTACATCCTTTTTTATCCTTTCAGAAAAGAGAAGTAATATAATACAATCAATTCTGAGTCACACAACCCTATTCTGTGTCACATATGGAACTTATCCTTAAAACTCAGCTAAATGCACAATGAATTAAACACTTGTGCCGGCAGGACTGAAGACCGACAGGTCGGAGGTTCGAATTTGGGGAGAGCATGGATGAGCTCCCTCTGTCAGCTCCAGCTCCCCATGCGGGGACATAAGAGAAGCTTCCCACAAGGATGGCAAAACATCAAAACATCAAAACATCTAGGCATCCCCTGGGCAACGTCCTTGCAGATAGCCAATTCTCTCACACCAGAAGCGACTTGCAGTTTCTCAAGTCACTCCTGGCACGAGAAAAAAAAAGCTGAATGCTGAACTATTTTTCCTCATTGGAATGTCATTAAATAGACAGGTATGCTTGGCTTCCTTGGCTTTTACCTAGAAGACAAAGATGGCAGTTCCTGTGTTAGGTAGCTGTGTGCTGGAGCAGACTGGAAAAGAGTAGCATTGTGTGATAAGGAGGCCTCATGTTCACCGTGCTTTTCTTCTTGTGTTGTGTGTGGGTCCAGAAAAGCACTCACAAATTGTGGTTGGCAGTTTCTGCCACATCTCTGTGGAAAAGTCGAGTTTTTACATGTAGGTGGTGAGCTGATTTCTGAAAGACAAAAGACCACCAGAGCCAACCCAGATATCAAAATATAAACATAGCTGATGAATGTAAATAAATTCAGAAATGATAGTAAAATAAGGACTGACCAAAAGCTATCCGGTAATATTCCAACCAGTCTTCCAGGATGTTCTTAATTTTCCGCTGTATTTGTCTTAATTCTCTCATAGCATTGAAATCTTTCATGTGGTTTAGATGCTCTTCTATTTTCTTTGTCCCTTTAGATGTCTAAGGAAAACACAATGACCATGTGAAATAATTATTTCTTTTACGATATCCAAAATAGCCAAGATGTTAACAAATATAAAATACTGTGTTTTTTGATGGTCTTTGGTGACCCCTCTGACACCCCCTCGTGACCTCCCTTGGGGTCCCGATTCCCAGGTTGAGAAACACTGAGTTAGAGCAAGTATACAAAGGCAGGATGGCTACTAACAGACCTCACTTCACTGCTGAGTTCTTAAGAGTATTTCTTTCAGCAGCTTACATTAATTTGAAAGGCACCATTTCAAAATATAAAATTTCCTTGCTGAAGCAGAGTGAAAAGAAAATAATGTACTTAACATGCCCCTAACATTTCCCTAGGGGAACTCACTGGGTTTGGAAATTACACATATTTCAAAACCTACGTAATAGAACTGTTATTAAAATCTTGGCAAGCAGCTAATTTAAGCATTAACTGACTGAAATTTTCACAAGACATATAAAATACAATGTCATAGGTACATAATTAATTTGCCATTGCAGTATTAGCTGTCATTTCAATAAAACAATGAGTACACGGCCACATTGAAAATCCCATTCTTTCAGCAAAATATGAAGCCAGATGCTAATGTGAATTGTTAATTTGAATTCTATTTCCATGCCAAAACAAAACAAAATAAAATAACTTCAAGCCAGATGGTTCTGCGTCATTATATTTATTACTATAAACATGCATCAGTATTTTTAAAGAATCCTGCACATTTTAATGAATGTTTTAGGGGGCCTGTAGTCAGGCACTATATAGTATAAATATGTGCAGAAACATAGACATACTCGATTAACATCAAGCAGTAAAAAGGTTCAATATGCCACTTTTATAGCACTCTAAAGCTTACTTTTAGAGTGCCACAAAAACTAAGCAACTATTTTAAAGAGATCTTATCTGTTTAATATATGTTAGTTATGTTAAGACATGACTAGCATAAACAAAGGGCAACTACAGTAGTCTCACTTATCCAACATAAATGGCCTGACAGAATTAGGATAAATAAAAATGTCGGATAATATAGAGCCTCCTACTGTTACCTGTCCAACGCAGCACAGAATACTAACAATAGGGACTCAAAGGGTTAATGCCTCAGGGGTAAAATGACCCAGCAGGAAGAGCCCAGATACAGAAGAGGAGCGTGGAAATCACAGTGGGAAGGAGGGAAGATATTTCCGCTTCAGGTCCTGCTCCCCCCCCCCCCTGCTTTCCTCTCTACTCCTCCTCCTCCTTGTCTTGCCTTTTTCACTTATTGGGAATGGAGAGAGAGTTGGGGAACTCTCCTTTAATTGAAGGGGAAATGCTGGAGGAAAAGGGGAGCATCGGATAAGACAGAACGTCGGATAAGCGAAGATCGGATAAGCGAGACTACTGTACTCCACAGCTTCTGACATAATTTTATGAATCAATTTCATATTTCTACTGTACATTATTGTTCAATAGTGGATGGCCATGGCCAAGATTGTTATACAAAAAATGGGGTGAGTTTTTCAAGGATCAAGGTTGGAGTAGATATATGTATTAAGGAAAATAATTCAGTCTGGTGGTCATATATGCAAGCGCTACTCATTAAGGCCAGTAAGTTTGGGCCACACCTGGTGGGGTATAACTGGGTGTGTTTTGAGATACATGGTGATCGCTCCCTTGGGAGTTGGAGAAGCCATGCTCTTTGCATTTACGTGATGCGTACAAGGACTATGCAAGTTTTGTTACTCTATAGGAGGGGTCCTCAAACTAAGGCCCAGGGGGTGGATACACCCCTCCAAGGTCATTTACCCGGCCCTTGCTCAGGGTCAACCTAAGTCTGAAATGACTTGGAAGCACACAATAACAACAACAATCCTATCTTATCAGCCAAAAGCAGGTCCACGCTTCCCATTGAAATACTAATAAGTTTATATTTGTTAAAATTGTTCTTCATTTTAATTATTGTATTGTTTTTAAGTGTTTTTTGAACTACAAATAAGATATGTACAATGTGCATGGGAATTCATTCATGTTTTTTTCAAATTATAATCCGGCCCTCCAACAGTTTGAGGGATTGTGACCTGGCCCTCTGTTTAAAAAGTTTGTGGACCCCTACTCTATAGGATTTATTTTTGATGCAATGCCACAAGTTTATGTTTTTGACTCAGCTGAATAAGAGTAAATTTATGTTTCCTCTTTCATCTGTGTGACGCTACTGTGTCTTTGATGGACTATAGTCCACATAAACCACAACAAAGATCTCATTATATGCAGCTCTCTCTTTTGTTTATCACCATATACACACAGAGAATTCACTGCTGAGCAGACACACATCCTACTGCAATGTTTAGCACAGGGTTGGGCAACTCTGAGGGACTGGGGGCTACATGGCTGGCCAGGAGATCTAGCACATGGGTGGAAACCTTTGACCTTCCAGATGTTTAGACTAATGTTCCCATACTCCCTTACCACTGATGATGTTGAGTGGAAATTCTTGAAGTTAACATCCAAAGGTTCCTTATCCCAGTCTAATTTTTTAGAAGGGTGTTTTTTGGTGGGGTTTTTTTTTTTGTAGTTTAACCTGACATGATGATACATGGGTTGCTGCTCGGCAGCAATTAACCATTTTATGAGCTTTGCTTGGAGCCTACCACTAATTATCCCAAATGCTGACAAGAAGAACAAGCAGCAGATGTTGTCATTTAAAATGGGAGGACTGAAAAGATCTCTTTGACTCTTTCCTTACCTGTTTTGTCCTTCCAGAAAAGAATGTAGGCAGTTAATAAAACAAGCAAATTCACAAAAAGGTGGCTTTTGAACAATCATGTGAATGGAAAAATACATGACCACGATATTTGATTAACACAAATTAAAAAACTACTATCCATGCAAAAATTTCCAGCAGACAAAATCAAAAGTTCATTGAAAAAACGAGGCAAATATACTTTTGTTATTTGTTTTAAAGGAGCCTCCAGTGGTGCAATGGGTCAAACTCATGTGCCGGTAGAATTGCTGACTGACAGGTCAGCGGTTCAAATCTAGGGAGAGTGGGTTGAGCTCCCTCTGACAGCTCCAGCTCCCCATGCGGGACATAAGAGAAGCCTCCCACAAGATAGTAAAACATCCAGACGTCCCCTGGGCAACGTCCTTGCAGATGGCCAATTCTCTCCCACCAGAAGCTACTTGTAGTTTCTCAAGTCGCTCCTGACACAAAAAAAATGTTTTAAAATATCATTGAAAATGTGAGAAAGTCAGCACTAGACCTCTACAATTGAGGGACCATTACAAAAAACAAAAAACAAAAAACAAAACTCTCCTCAGTCACTATCTATAAATCACATCTGAAATAGAGACAACTATGTTCTCCTGTCACCCTTTGTTTACAGTTGTCTTTTACTCCGTTTCCTCTGTTTTGGATATCTTCTGTGATCTTTATTTGATCTTCTCTTGTCTTATTCTTTCAACCCTTTCTTTCATACCATATTTCTGGCTTCATCCTTCCCTGTCCTTTTTATAGTCTCTTCCCTTTACAGTTCTTCTGAGCTACAAACTATATAATATCCATTCAAAGCTAACAATGTAAACATAGATGACAAGGAATAACTAAGCAGTTTCTCAACTCCAGATCTGATCTTCTCTGACACACTTTTCTTTTTCCTTGTCCCCTAGTGCCTCCTGTGAACTTTTCTTCTACTTTTGCATCTTTCCTGTTTTTCCAGGCTTCCATATCTCAATTTTTCTGCTTATTCATTATTACCCACTTCACCAGTTTCATGCAAAGCATCCAAGGTATTATAGCATCCAAGCTTCAAGCTAAGCATAACACAAGCAGCTGCGGTTCTTAATACATCTGCCCTTCATTTCTATTAGATTTGCTGAGACAAGTTCTAAGGTTATTGTGCAATTTTATGGCACAACATTATATGTTGTATTTAATTTTAAAGGGATGGGTGGGATAGTGGGAAATGCCCAGAAAGCTTAAATTGTAGTAATGCAATCTGGAAATAACATTACATTTACTTATATTACTGAAAATTACTTACTTCCATTTTCAGATATTTGTTTTCTTCCTCCTCCTTGAATGTTCTGCGGTGTGTTTCAGTAAAGGCATTAATCGATTTAGATAACAGCCTAACTTCTGAGAGTATCTGACCCTAAAAAAACAAAGAGAGGAAAGGCAACAGATATTATGTGCACCAGCTGGTGTTGTTACCTTTTGCCTCTTTTTTAAAGACTCTCAGGACTGAGGACCTACGAGAATGGGAAAATATCAAGGTTTAATCTTTTTTTTGGTTCCATTTACCTGTATATTCATAGTTTTGTAATATCCTAATACTTTGTACTCCCCGAATACCCATTTTTAAAAAGACTGAATTCTGAAATGTTTCCCAAGTCTAAGGAAATTATCACACAAGGCAGGAAAATCACAATTACAAAAGGACAACAGAATCTTTGCCTTTGGACTTGTCACATGACATTGATCCCTTCCTGTTACCCTCCAGTGGGAAACAACCTGTAAAAGCATTTATTTCACCATCATAAACCATCAATTAATGACCTCCTTTAAAAAAAGAAATGCCCTGCAATGCTGTTCCACTGAGAGAGTGGCAGGAAAGAAGTAATGTCTTGGGACAGATCCCTGGCAAAGATGCTGTTGTCTTGCTATAATTGCAACATCCCTCCTTATATACAGACAACGTTTCGGAATTCAGTCCTTTTTCAAAATTGCTATTCACAAGATTAGTATTAGTATTTAAATGCTTTAGCAATATTACAATATTTAAGCAGTAGGATTATTTTCTTTTATTTCTAGTCCTATTTTATTCCTTTTTCCATTGCTTAACATCTGCTGAGTCTGGGTCCCAAAAAAATTCATTATGTTTCCTAGTGGCTATTACCTTAGCTAGTTCTGGTAACAGCCATGGAGCTAAACATTTAATTTCAAGAAATAATCGGTTAATTTAAATTGGCTTGGGGAGTGGGAATAAAACTCCTTGACAATGCTGAGAGTTGCCTGGGAATATTTTGGAATGGTGAAGATATCATATAGATCTTCAAAATAAAATTGGTTTGTACAGGAACAAACTCTGGGATTTTTAGAGACTTTTTTCTTACCTGAAGGGACAAAAAAAAAATCAATTATTCATTCTAACCAGAGTATATTCATTATATCAATTTGGAAATCAACATTTTTGTAGATCCCACTGTTTCAACTAGCTAGGACTAGCAAGTGGATGTAGACCAGTGGTTCCCAACCTGTAGTCTGTGGACTACCAGTGGTCCCCACTATTACTACATCATTACCTCAAAACCATGCAGCAACGAGAACGACTGGTCTCTCAAAACTCTCTTATAGTACAGTGGCAACGGGGAAGTCGGGAGAGAAGAGGCTGATTACCCATGTAAGGTTACTACTACCACATCAGCTCTAGATTGTTAAATATGGTTTTCTGTGGGTGATCAGATGGTTTCAACTGTAATAACAAGATGTACGTTTTCCTGTTATGGAAATACAGTTGGAATTGCTGCCTTGTTACAAAGTAGATCAAAACACAGCAACCTTGTCAAAAAATAACAAGACTACCCATGTGACTGCAAATGAGAATACTAGTAATAACACAAATATATTGCCATTTTTTGGACTCCTAACCATGATACAGAGGCAAAGCCATGCTTCTTAGTCAGCATGGCTTTGGCTACATCGTTCTTCTGTAGCAAGGAGCTGCTGTCTTGTTTCTTTCTCTTTTTTGACATGCAGCCTTAAAATCCAAAGAGAGTATGAGTTCACATGTGCAGATAACTGCAGCAAATGGTCCTAGGATTTATTTCCATTGATTTCCTTTCATCTTTGAGTGTAAATCCTCTTTAAAAAATAAGGGTTGTTTACACAGGGATTAATCTATTTTTCTGTCACAGCAATTCAGTGAGATAAAAAACCCATGCATTATATAGAAGATAACAATGCCTGCTATACATCCAAGGCCAACGTCACTATTGTAACTGTCTAAACATGCCATAATCCAATGACTTAATCTGTGAGAGCTGTAACAGAGACCATTCCGACTGACTTCTATATCAATGTGGGATTGTAGTTTGAATTTGATGGAGAGGCCCATTTGTATAGGAACAATTTGTGCGCGAGAAAGAAAACACAGAGATAGGAATCCCATTAATGGGAAACTGAGCCTCTTTATTCTCCTTATTCTATTCTTTCTGACACCCCTGCACCACATTTGTTTTATTCTTCCCCAGATGTTTTCTTAACAAAAATATTTCATGTGTAAACATTGAGTTATACTCTCTGACTGCCGATGTATTGAGTTATACTCTCTGACTGCCGATGTACAGGCTTTAGAGAGCTTGATCTTGTATGGTCTTGAATATTAAATTGTTCCAGCGTACCAGATTTTTTAGCCGTGGAACAGCCACACCTCGTACTGGTGACAAAGACAAATTCACAGTTTCATGCTCCCACTTGTAAATCAAAGAAACTGCAAAGCGTCCAGCAATCCTCACCGTAATGTGCTTGTTAACCTAGAGTAAGACAAAATAATAATGTGTTCCATATTGTTCAGACAGCAATATGTAAATACTTTCAACTCAATACAAAAAGTCAGCTAGTGGCATCTGAAATAAAATGTTGCAGTGTGAAATACTCCTGTTGAGAGCTTTAGGAAATCAGCCAATTTCCTTTCAGTTGCACTCACTTGCCAACAATCATCCAGTCGGTTCCCTTTAAAGACTACAAACCACTGAATTTTTTAGCCCCGTGGTTCTCAACCTGTGGGTCCCCAGATGTTTTAGCCTTCAACTCCCAGAAATCCTAACAGCTAGTAAACGGCCGGGATTTCTGGGAGTTGTAGGCCAAAACACTTGCAAATTCACAGGTTGAGAACCACTGCTCTAGAAGGTATGGTCACTGACATAAGTCATAGTCCCAAAGAATTTTTCCAAGCTCAGTGTTTTGTGACTGGTTCTTCAGTGTTTATGATGTGTGTGTGGCTGAATCTACATGAATGCGGTGTCCCAGGCCCACTACATTGTATCCTTGCCATGATTTCACCTCTTTACTGTCATACACACTTCATTTAATCCAAACTGAAATGTGTTTGTGAAGCCACACGTACAAAAACCAATTGCCCCCTCTCCCAAATACAGAAACACCACCTTTTCTAGATGCCATTATAAACATGAGTACTATTTCATGGCAAGAATGATCAGATGACCTGAGTGACTACCTGTCCTAGGTGACCATCCACCATGGTCCCTCCATCCCTGATTCTATCACAATCCCAATTCAGGAGTCAAACCTCACGTTTTTTTGGGGGAAAGGTTCTTTCCAAAAACAGTAAACTGAAGTTGTTTTTAAAATTGCCCTCAGGCTTCAAAAATAAGTCTTTTCACACTAGAAAAAGATGTGTTCTAACAAGAGTGGGATCAAGGTAAGGACACATTATTTAGCTTCTGCAGATTCAACTTTCCTATGTATACATGGATATTTCCCCAGTCATCCCCCAAAATCACAATTGTATTTGTACTTTGCAAACATTGATCCCTCTCTCTTATGCTTTGCTGAGCATAACCATGTCTAAATATTAGAAAGGAAATGAAACATTTTTTGTCTAAAATGTCTCAGTGAAAAAAAAGTCTTGATTCTATAATTTAGGGAGAAATCATCATCATCATCATCACCATAGTCATCATCACTTTATTTATACTCCACCACCATCTTCCCAACGGGGACTCTGGGTGGCTTACGTGAGGCCAAGCCCGGACAACATATTTATTATTTATTTATTTACTTTATTTATATACCGCTTTTCTCAGCCCTCAGGCGACTCAAAGCGGTGATATTACATATTACAGCAAAATAAAACCAAAACATAAGCAACAAGCAACAGCATCCAAATTACATAAAAAACATATGAATAAAATAACAAAATAACATTCCAGTTATCTCAGAAGAAAACTGTGATCACGTGCCTTCAGATTCCTTGCAAATTATTTTCCAGCCATTCTTCCAATTAAAACTTGGAGAATTAGGAAAATTCGTAGTTTTTATGGTTTGAGCTAACAAGAAATGCTAACAATCTGTTTGCTGCTATTTTTCTTTTAATTTTTCAGTTTTAAGTAGCATTTTAAACCAAATGATGTCAACTAAGTAAAAGACTGAATTTCTGTCATCATCTACCAGTTTTTCTGTCTCCATAGTTATGTTTCTTACCTATATGACATCAATGGAAGTTAATCAAATGGCACACACACACACACACAAAAGTCTTTCCTTAAACAAGGATGAAGGATATTTGAACTTCACATATGAAGACAATATTGGTAGATCCCTCCTTCAGGTCATTTCAGTCCAGGATATGTCTTTCTCTCAAGAAGGCCAGCAGTCAATTTCCAGTCATTTCTTGAGAAAAGCACCCACCTGGGCCTAAAATGCTGTGAAGTGGGCCAAGAACATGATGAAATTGGCCCTAAGTAGTGTTGGCAGGCAGATGAGGCAATGATCATAATTTCTTCCCAGGTTTCTGCCAGGACGCTACAGACCTCCAGGGTTCGGTGCCCACCTAAATCTGTTCCAAACCTTATTCTGGGCACATCCCCAAGTATAAAACCCTGCCTATACAAGAAAGTAATTATATAGGTGCGTGCATCACCTCTTAGGTAAATTGGAATCACTTTAGCTTACTGTAAAGTGTTCAGACAAAGAAGTCAAGAAACAATTAATGGTCTTTAGGCGCATGTGTTTGAAAACATTTGTGTTTTCAATTTTTGAGAATCACAGTTTTATCCCCACTCTTTGCTACTGAAAGATGCCAGTGTTTTGAAATTTCACTTTAGAGGGCTATGACTGCCAGAATCACAAACCTAGCATCCCAAAGGGAGTTTCCAACCTCAGAAACAAGAAATCAGAGATGATTAAAGAGATACCTTGGTCCCTTTAAAGCAGTGGTTTCCAACCTGTGGTCCGTGGACCACCTGTGGTCGGCAAAAACTAAAATATGCAGATCACCATTACTACACCATTGCAACAAGAGCAACTAGTCTTGTGAAACCTTATATTGCCAGGACTTATTAAATATGGTTTTCTGTGAGCGAGCAGATGGTGACTACTGGGTGGCATTTGTTCTGTATCAGAAACTAGAGCTGATGTCGTCTATCCAATGCAATGTACTGAATCAACACCCCAAATAATCAAAAAGAATCTAAAGTTGACCAAAAACTGATTCATAACTCTTTTGATTCTAATGTTGGATGGAGAGTGGTCCCTAGTCAAAGTGGCCCTGGTTAAAAAAAAAGGTTAGGAACCACTGCTTTAAAGTGACCAGCTACTGCAATAGATAGAGCTTTGTATTTTTTGTATATGACAACAGTCATTATTTCTGAACCTGACTACTCAGTTCTAGGTGGTGATAACGGTGTAGGTCACCAGCACATTTGCACTAGCATAAGCTCAAGAGGTGAATCTAGAGAAGGTGAAGCAGGTGTACAAGAAGAATATGGTCCTGTGCAACAAATGTGAAGCAATCTTCCAAGAACTTCATACGGTGCTATATGGATGTAAGGCAGGCTAGTGTTCTACCCTATGCTAATTTTTCAATGTTCACTTTCTGCAATTATAGTTAAGTGTGTGGTGAAATCACATCTCAACACACCTTGCCAGGTGTAGTATGCTTTATCAAGTGACGCAATGCAGGCCTCTGCTATTCCTACTATAGCTGCTGTGAATGAATGATATTCTGCTATCAGATAATGGGGTTAAATTATCTTCAATTCTGATTTTGCACGATAAGAATGAAAAGGCCTTTCCCTGAATAGCTTAGCACGTCATGGTTTGGACATGTTCTCCTGTGGAAAAAGGGAGGAACAGCAGATATGCCAAAGGGCTGAAGTGCCACCATTTTCCCAGACCCTCTTTTCTTTGCACTGTGAGTCAGTGTTCATTGGTATTTCCGGCTGTGCTGCTTCATAGTGGGAGGAAGAAAATTAACTCGTGTCTCCTTTTCCTCGGGGAACAGGGAATAATTCTACTGTGAGTAAGCTCAGGTAGTTAACTACTTATTCTAGGCCGGGCTGAACAATTGATTTTTGCCATAAAAATATTCCAAGAAGCCAAAGAAAACAAAAACATTTTTATTTTAAAAAGACAAGAAGAAGGGAAGGAATAAAACCAATAACAAATAAAGAGAACAGAATATTACCTGTACAATAACTGGGTCATCAAGCTTTCCTGCTCCAGGCCATTTCCACTGGCGTAGTATTTCTCCATCTTTATTAGTCACCATACCGCCTTCCTGATTAAATATCATTGCTATGTTGTTGCTGCAGAAACCAAAAGCCAGTTTTTCCGGACACAGTTTAGAGAAGCATAATGAGCAAACCCAAGCACTCAACTTTGATCACAGCCTTTATGTTTCATTTAATATGATAATCTGAATATTTATCATTTCATCATCATAATTTTCTCACAGACTATATTCTAGACAGGTATGCATTATAGATCTAAATGAACTTTCCTGCCTTAGAGATAAGCTACTAGGCAGAAGGAAACTGGCTTCCCTCACCATCTACCCTGTCTCCATACTTATGCTTCTTACCTATAGGTCATCCAATGGAAGTTAGCTGCAGTCCCTAGCAGGTAACAATTACTATATAAAATCAAAATACATTAATAATTCTATGTTGCTTTGATTTCTTTATGAATTTATTCTAGACAGACTTCACAGGTACCCATTCTGTTTTCTAGGCTTTCATCTTCATCTGTGAACCACAAACCAATACATATTATTGACACATAAACACATCTTATCTTAGAAACATGTTAGTACAAGAAAGAGGCATGCTTTTTCCTACATAGTCTGATAGCCTGCACAGAATGAGAGCACCAAGGAAGATGCAAAAGAAGGAGTACTTGTTTGAATAAAACATTTCTAGAATGGCACAGAATTGATCTTCTGGACTAGTTTGATGGAAAGTTTTCTGCAACTGAATTGTTTGCACTTTCAATCATAGGTTAGTAATATCCACAGTATCTTTTTTCCCATTCTACTCTTCCTATTATTTGGGACCAGCACAACAAAAACTTTGAATCAAATGCTTTTTGTGAATTCATGCAAAGGATATCTGAAATCTGCATGGAACATCTCTAGCAAGGAGGAAAATGAACAGGACAGGCATTGATTTCATGGAGCATGCTGTGCACAATCTGTCTTACTAGCTGAACTAAATAATTCCCTTCTGGTTGTACAGTGTAGTCCTCAGGTCTATTACATTAACAAAAGAGAAACTCAGGAAAGAGTACAACATTCCCAGTGCTGCAACCACACCTCTTATGCTTTGCTAGTGCTGTGAGCCAATTAATTTATGTCTTCACACAAGTACAACCAGATGGATCAGTTACACCACACCATGTACTCAGAGTTAGAATGGGTTAGACACATATTTTCCAAAATCAAAGTTAGCTTAGGAAATCTGTAATGTCCTATTTGGGGCAAACAGGAGAATCTGAGACATACTCAGTTCACAATGGAGATAGTTACATTGGGAAGCAATGCTTTGAATCATATAATGCGTTCAGGAGACATATACAACTTAGTATCGGAACATCTGACCAGGTCAACATATTAAGAAGTTCTCTAAAAGAATTCTTCCTACCTGTTAGGAAAGGAAATGCTGCCATGTCCAAATGGAGTAAATGTTCCAAGTAAAGCACAATCAGGAAAGTCACTGAATATGTTGGTATACAAACCACCACTGGGAAGACCAGAGTAACTCTGGCAGACTGCAAAATGGCCAGAGGGATAAGTAAACCGACAGTCAAGGAGCTTTTGCCATTTCTCTCAGAAAATAAGATCTTCTCCAGGTATTTAAATACAATGCATTTTTAAAACTGAAGCATGTAAGCATCACTAGCCATTAACTAGTGTGACTAGTTAGTGAGGAGACACCTGGGGGAATTAGTGAGGGGACACCTGGCCAAAGAGAAGATGGCCAAAGGATTTCCAGATTGGTGTATCCTCCTTGCACTAATAGACTGCATATGCATTCCAATGTTTAGTAAGAAATGAGACCATTGGGGAAGTTAGTCCAAAAAATATAATATCCTAAAGGTACCAGATCCCACATGGTTATGGAAGTTTAATAGGTGGAGCCCATGTTACTGTTTGGATAGAAAACTACTAACAAATGCCAGGTGCTGTATGCTGCATTTCAGGGGAAAGATCTGGCAAAAATGATTTCTGAGGATATGAGGGAAAGAAACCCACAGGTATAGAGCTGGATGCTAGGGTTTATCTAATACTTCATTCAGCTCTCTGGAGGAGCACGGTGCAGAGCGTTCAACAACAACATAATAGAAAAACCTTGTTTGAGAACAGCACAGTACATGAGGAAGGGAGATGTATACCACATATACATCATTATAGTGAAAACGTGCCTGGAACAATCATATGGTTGAGCTTCCTTTCTCAGAATAAAACATAACAGAACTGAACTAAAAATAGAAGTTGAAGGTTCACCATGGTCCTGAATAAAAATCAATGGCTCGGGTGAAACAATAGTAAATCCCTTTTGTTTGTTTTGTATTTGACAGCAGCTCGAACCTGCTCAGTGTTCATTCACCATCTATTGTTGTTGTGGGCCTTCAAGTCATTTCTGATTTATGTCAACCCTAAGGTGAAACTATCATGGGGTTTTCTTGAAAAATTGGTTCAGAAGGCATTGGCTTTTGCCATCCTCTGAAGCTCAGAGCATGTGAGTTACCTAAGGCCACCTTGTGGGTTTCCATGGCTGAACAGGGATTGCTGCCTTGCTCTCCCGGGATCTTCAACCAACACTACAAGCACTGCACCATGCTGGCTCATCAGCCATATTTTTCGCCATTTGTTTATCTTCTGCACTACCAGTTGCCACTGTGCTTACTCAACAATGGCCCATCCTATGCCAAAATGAGTTTTTCTTGATTTACATGATTCTATATCAGTGGTCCCAAACCTTTTTTTTTTTTTTTTACCAGGGATCGCTCTCCAACATTAGTACCAAAAGGGTTACGAATCAATTTTTGGTCAGCTTTAGATCCGGTTTGGTTATTTGGGGTGCTGATTCAAAAAATTGCATTCGATAGACCACATCAGCTCTAGTTTCTGATACAGAACCTATTTCATCCAGTAGTTGCCATCTGCATGCCCACAGAAAACCATATTTAATAATCTAGGCAGTAGTAATCTTTTGTGGGTAGTCAGCCATTCCCCCTCCCGACATCCTTTTTGCCTCAGCACTATAAGAAGGTTTCATGAGACCAGTTGCTCTCGGTGCCGCATATTTTAATTCTTGGGGACCATTGCGAACCACAGGCTGGATCCGCAATGGTTCCCGTACTGTTCTATATGAATGTTTTTATGTCTAGGATTTGGTTTTTTTTAAAGAAGAAATCGAGTTGTTTCAAGCCAGAGAACCAAACCAATTTCTTCCAATCTAGCAATATGCAATGCAGCAAAGATATGGAATTCTGATATTAAAGTAAAAAAATTGTTATTCACGAACATATGTTTTAAAAAGGTAAATAAGTTCATTCTAAAGATTTCATTGGTAAAGTATCTAATCTTATACATATTTACTCAGAAGCAAGTTCACTGTGCTCAATGGAAACTATCATGCCTAGATTAAACAATTGCTCTGTTTCCTTTTTTGCTTCTTATCTTGTATACACCATTCTTGCCATTATTGCTAGATGGAATTCTCTTTTATTTTATACATTTTATAAAGTCAAAGGATATTAAATCAAAGATGATCCATCAATCAATCCATAATGTAGTTTCTTGAGAACGGGCTCATTCTTCTTGATGGCTGGCAATTGTGGTGTTTCATACAGGATATTAGAGGACACGGTCTTCCTGATGTACCTTCTGATGTTTTTTGGAAATGTATTTCCAAAAATATCTTTCTTAGAATTACCATAATGACGAAGAATCACAGGCTTATCAAATCCAGATTTTTTCAGATGGGACAGCTGCTCAGTTCTGTTTGGATTTTTAAAAAGATCTTTACTCTGCAGCAGGGAAGCCAGCAATTTTTTTATTCAAAGTAAAAAAAAAGTCTACAAATTTTTAGTAATATAATTAGCATTTAACCCAAACATTATCCAGATAATCTGAATAACCACTTGGCCAAAGAAAATTGAACACCATAGTGCAGTTGTTCTCAGATTTTGTCTTCCATATGTTATGGCCAATGCTGAAAAATAGTGGGATGTATAGGAGGAATAGTATTTGAGAATCATGGAGGTAGAGTATTCAAGGCAACATTCTTCTATTGATCTGAGTAATTTCATCCAACTCAAACCGCTCAGATATGTTTTGTACTCATATCGTGAAACCGCTTTAAAGTAGTTTGTTAATGAATCCTCATATAGGTGCCCCTGGTGGCACCATAGGTTAAACCCTCAAGCTGTCAGGACTGCTGACTGAAAGGTCGGCGGTTCGAATCCAGGGAGTAGGGTGAGCTCCTGTCTGTCAGCTCAAGCTTCCCATGCAGGGACATGAGAGAAGTATCCCACAAGATAGTAAACATCCAGGCAATATTCTTGCAGAAGGCCAATTCTCTCACACCAGAAACAATTTGCAGTTTTTCAAATTGCTCCTGACACGAAAAAAAACCCCCTCATATACACAATTTATATCGCACGCTTCCTCTGAGTGTAACAATGGTTCTCTTTGTCTTCTTCCATACTTTATTCTCACAATAACTCCATGAGTTAGAGTCAATCTGAGAGAAGGTGACTGGCTCAGGGTCACTTAGTGAATTTTATGGTTTGGTGGGAATTTGAATAGGGATTTTCCAATCTCAAGATAATCACTAGACAACACTTGGCCATTGCTCCAGTGATTTCAACAGAATGTTATCAGTTATACACAGATATCCCAATTTAGATTAGAATTTATTCTACTTGCTGTTCATGTTTACTCTTCATCTGCATAATTACATTATTAAGGGTGAAACAGCCATTACCAAGTCTCAACCTGAGGCCCAGTTGTGATGCCGATGTATGTATTGCCATGCAAGCCTTATCTTATCTGCAAGTAGCCTCCTTTCAAAGTCACTTCCACACCTCCGACCATGACAGAGCAGAAAGAGCATGTAGACACTCAGCTCAATATAAGAGTATTCTAAACCAATGCTTCTCAAGCTAAGATGAGGAATCTACAACTTTCTTCCCTTAATATGTCAGAGACCAGTATCATATTTCTGCCCATTGGGTACAAATATATCTTTCCTGGAAACTCACAAGGGACTGGAAGCCAATGGGTTGTGGACTGGCACCAGTCCATGGACCACCACTTTGAGTCACTCTGCTCTAAGGCACATTTCATTGCTACAGGAAAGAGGGAAAGAAATGCAATGCAGCAGCTAGATTTCCTTGCCATAGGGGAATGTTGTTACACAGACAGGTGTAACACATCCTCCTATGGTAAGGAAACCTAGCTGCTGTACTATTCGTACCATTTAAATTAAAGCTATATTTTGCTGTCAGTTTCAATCTTGGTCAACATATTTACTGCACAAGTCTGTACAACAACTGTACAAGTCCTGTTTACTGTACAAATCTTATTTCAGTGTCACTCTAAATCTTTTCAGTCCACATATTATACTTTACTGTCTTTCACAGAAGCTTACATATCAACACCTTAATTAAAAACATCAATTAAGCAGGAAAGCATTCCAAGCACTTGTAATTCTAAATATTAACCGGAGGAAATCTAAGGAGAATCCTTGAGCACAAGCCAGCATTCCTTACATCTTAAATTCAGTAACAGGATATCACCCAGGACACCTTTTTGCTGACCAAGCTAAGACTAAGCATTCGATAACACTAAGTTAAGTGCTATAGTGTTGGCATAGAAACCTGGCAACAGTCAGCACAATACACTGCCAAAATAAAGATCAAAATTTCAGTACCAGTACACTGTTCCAGTGGGAGTAATTAATATTAAAAAGGAAAACATTGTTCTCTTCTCTTGGGAGACATTCCTTTACATTGAGGCTATGTATACATTTGTATTTTACTTCTGAAATAATTTGACTAATAACAAAATACTTACAAGTGTACTACACAATTTTAGCTATTAAAGTATCACCTGATCTGGATTCAACAAGCATAATAATTTCTTGTTTGAGAATTACAGGAGAAAATATACGAGATGACAAAAATGTAAGACTTCTAACAATGCTATAGTAATCAAAGTTTATAAGTATTTTTTTAATTAATGCTATTTATGGGTTGGTGGACTATTTCTCCAACCCTGACCATCATAATTCTAAGATTGCTGTCTCTAAAAATAAAAAAGACTACTAGTCATGGGCCCAAAATTTTTCTACTCCGTTTGAATTGTGTTTCCATTTTGTTTCATTTATTTGGATGGCACAAAATGGGAAGGCCCCTCCTGGAATGAAAATAAAATCGATACGAAAGGCAGGCGGGAGTGGGTATCAGCTCCAAGCCTACTTTTCAGATTGATTGCTGTGTGCATACGGCCAAAGAACCAGGCCCTGGTATGGCCTGCAGTTAAGCGCTGAGTAAGAAGCGCTCCTTACTAGGTCTTTGGCTGTAGGCACCACATCGCTTTGGTCCTATATGCCCACGCCTGGCAAGGCTTGCAGCTAAGCGCTGAGTAAGAAGCACTCCTTACTCAGTGCTTGGCTGCAGACCCTGCCAGGCCCGGGTGCATACACCAAAAGCCTGCACCCATAGGCCCAAAGCACTGGGCCTACAGGTGAAGTCCCTGCCCCCCCCCCCAAATGGCCCCAAAGAAAATGGATGTTTTGGCACTGAAAACAGAAAGCAAATATCTGACCTCCCATTTCGGGAAGCTCAGTCGAAATGGATTGGGGCCCTGACCGAAAGCTGGAACACAAAACAGATAAAGATTTACCCCGAATGCACATGACTAAAGACTACAAACCGTTGTTTATTTAATTTATTACAGTAGTAAAATTGCAGGGGAGAGAAATATATTTCCTGCTTCAATTGCCAAATCAACATGGTTTGCTTTGGGCACTGGGATGGAGACATAACATCTTAAGCTCTCCCACAGGTAGCAAAATACCCTGTCCAGTCCCAGCTGACACCTTTCAGAGGAGAAATATGGTTTTGTGCTCTGGGCCTGACATTGTGCATTCCACATGATGACCCATAGGAGAATTGTTACTGGACTCACGACCCAGTAGACTTGCAGAGAGTTACCAAATACATCAGTTAGAACAGCCACATGGGGGCCTTCCCACACAGCAGCTATGATTTAGGCAAACACAGGTGGTTCAAAGAGGGATCATCTTGCAGCCGTGTCCACATATATAGCCACCAGTCCATAAACTGGTTCATCAATTCTCCACACTATCTTACCCAACTAAAAGGCCATCAGCAGCCCTGCATATTTCCACACTTACCAAGGAGTAGTCTCAATTTCATTCAGTGGAATTTGATTCTGACCAACACACATAAGATTGTACTGTGGGTCCAAGCTGGCAACTGAACACATCTTGTATTACCTCTTATTATCTCTATCTTATTTTTAAAATAAAACAGACAAATTTAGGCTTAAATTAATCGCAATGACAACAAACAAGCCAAATCAGTACATTCCATTTTAATACATTTGGATCTTAGCCAGTTGTAGCCTCTCCACTGCCTGGATATAGGGTGCTTTCCATTCTGGGTCTTTAGTATCACTGCTATAATGTTGGGAAAACCAACCTTTAAAGAAAAGAAAGATCTCAAATTGGTGAGTTGACATCAGGATCTTATATTCCAAACGATTAACAGTTTAAATATTTTCCAGTTGATCAATCAATACACCTCAATTAAGATATTGTTTTTGAAAAAACTGGTATCAAGTTCAATTGAAGTACAGACAGCCGTGATGAGAAGGTGTCAGGAATTGGATATGGATTACTTCAGTGCATAGTCTACACCAGGGGTCCTCAAACTAAGGCCCAGGGGCCGGATACGGCCCTTCAAGGTCATTTACCCGGCCCTCGCTCAGGGTCAACCTAAGTCTGAAATGACACAACAACAACAACAATCCTATCTCATCAGCCAAAAGCAGACGCACACTTCCCATTGAAATACTCATAACTTTATATTTGTTAAAATTGTTCTTCATTTTAATTATTGTATTGTTTTTAAGTGGGTTTTTTGCACCACAGATAAGATATGAGCAGTGTGCATAGAAATTCATTCATGGTTTTTTGTTTTTTTCAAATTATAATCCGGCCCTCCAACAGTTTGAGGGATTGTGACCTGGCCCTCTGTTTAAAAAGTTTGAGGACCCCTGGTCTACACAATCCACAGCTATTCTAGCATAATAACGAAGGTCATAAGAATTACGGCAGTTGTAAGCTGAACACATCTGGAGGGCACTAAATTGGGATTGGCTACATTAGGAATGGTGGACAAATTATTTTCAACATCTTTAGGTCTCCATCTTTAAACTGAAAATAATAATGACTTGTCATTCCAGACACAAATAAAAAAATAGTAAAAAGTATGATGCCCACTTTTTAATACTTTCTCAGCTCATAACACTGGAAAAAAATCCACATCCATGAGGCAAAGTGGATGAGAATGCATGTTCTCAGTCATTATTTTGAGTTGTGAATATTTTAATTTATATCTGGTTTGAAAATATGCATATATAAAATATATGCATTATATATGCTATCGACTAACTAAAGAATAATTTACATGAGACATTAAGTGAGAAATGATTAAATATTGATAAATGACCAAAGCTTGACTTTCTAGGATACTTGTTGCGTGCCTTCAAGTCATTTCTGATACAGTGTGACCCTAAGGTGGACTTGTCACAGGGTTTTGTTGGTCTTGTCACAAAATTTGTTCAGAAAGTTTTTGCCTTTTCTTTCTATGAGAGTAAGAGAATGAGACTTGCCCAAAGTCACCCAGTGGATTTCCAGGGCTGAGTGGGGATTTGAACCCTGGTCTCGAAACTCCTAGTCAAACACTTAAATGTTTATGCTTTCATTTCTGAGGATATTAGTGTGAATAAAATAATTTCACCACTCACTTCGCAATGTTCTAAATTTCATGAAAAATGAAGATTAATCATTTTTTTAAAATTCCTAGTTATCAGAAACATTTCCAAATAAAACATTTAAGTCCTTCACTATCAATCACATCTTATTAAATTGAGGATATGGGCCATACCTCTTTCCTTACACAGTTTTGAGGACAGAGAAAAACTGATAGTAGCAAGTGAATCATTGGCACCTTGTTGTAAAACCACAGCTGAATTGGAGAGAAAAAAGAAACCCAAAAGCATATTATTATATATGTGAACATACACATAAATCATTCTGTTTTACAAAAAAGTAGTTAAGTAGCCAAAGCTAAATTATGGTAAGGCTTTCTTCTGGGACTATATTAATGTAAATATAAATGACAATAGTAAATTAAAATGTCAATGTTAGAAAATCAGGACAAGTATTTCTACATATAAAATCCCAATAGTACATATTATGTATCTTTTAATATTAATTAAAAATTATGCAAACTATTAGGATTTTATATGCAGAAATATGTATTGTCATTTATGTTTCAGTGTAGACTGACAATTTTGCTTGCCCAGCTATATTTATACACATACACCGGGAAATAAGTCCCACTGAGTTCCACAAAACTTATTTTGAAACAACAAGGCATGAAAAACATCATATGGAATGAAGCTCTTATAGGTCTACCACATAAATCTGCTCTCACCTGTATCAATGCTGAATCTTTACCTATGTGGTCCATATCAAGATAGATGCACACAAAGACTTAAACATCCAATTGCCTTTTGGACATCTCTTTTCCTTGATCTAGACTTTCCTATATAGGTTAACCACCTACATTTACTAACCATGAAGTTTACTATGCAGTAAAGTGATCACTTCAAATTCTGAATTTAAGTGTTAGCATGACAACTAACCAAATTGGTCTTAGTCTTACATGTCAAATTATGTGACCAAGGATGTATGAATAGTATATTGGTCCAGTAGTTGCTCTGATATCAGAATTATTATGAGAATATTAGTAGTTTCTCCTTACGTTTGTTTAACAGAGGTACAAGATTCTCTGATCCCTTTACAACATCAGTAGAAAACCCAGTAAGTTGTTTGCTTCTCCTTTTTGTGTTTACTGCCATCTCTTCATCAGTATATTCAGAACTGGGTGACAGTCTACTGGACTCCTCTGATGCCAGTTTAATCCCTTCATTTACATTTTTGTATGTTGGCTCCTGGCAATATTTTTTATTATACCAGGCATTTTCAACAAGCTCTTTCCAGCTGTAGTTCAAAATATTTGAAATCCCCTGGGGTAGAATAATCTTATACTTGGAAAAATGTCTGAGCATGTCTTCCAGCTCATGTAAAATGGTAGCAGCTCTGTATTTATATTCATTCAATGAGGCTAACTGTAGAGTTTCTTCTTTAAGTGAATGTGAAGGTATCTGGGAAAGCTGATCCAAATGGTCCTTGCAGGTGGGCTGGAAAACCAAAGGGCAACAACTTGGAGAAACTGGAATTTCCTTTGCTGTGTTGACTATCACTGAGGTGTCGCCCCCTTCCATGCGCTCTTCTTTATATGCAGGATTCCTGCAGGTGGATAAAACAAATACTTTATGCTCTGTAATTCCAAGTTAGATTTCGCATTCCATATTTTTCACCTCCAATAAGTACTGAAGGCAAAATCTAATTTGGAATTACAGGGCATAATTCTATCTATCTAGATCCTTTTCACAAGGACTTTTAAAACAGTGGAATAGCATTGGCAAAGAAGAATGCACAACAAACAATAGGCAGCCCCAAAGCTATGGATAAGACAGGTTCTGCAGGTTTTTTCTTAAGTTGAATTTGTTTGTAAATCAGAACAGGTGCATTTTAAAGTGTAATTCCAGCCAAAAATATATCTATTTTAGGTTTGGATAGCATAGGGAAGGGTGAACACTTCTATGGTGTTTATTTTGGTGTCTGTGTCCCTCTTCAGAAGATTTCACTTCACTTTCTGTCCCTGTGATCATTGGATTTTGAAAAAAAATGGCTTGTTGTGGAAACAAGGATTGGTGAGAAAGCTTCAGTGGGGACACCTTTTCCCCATGATAACTTTTTTGGGAGTTTATTTATTTACAATATTTGTATCCCGCCTTTCTCGAACCCGAAGGTGACTCAAGGCGGCTTATAACCAGGCAGCCATTTGACGCCTTACCAATATGCACTTTAAACCACATTTAAAACAGAATTAAAAGGCACATACAATAAGACCTTTAAAAACATATACAACCAATATATAAAGCCAATACTTTCGCTGTTAGCCTCATTGTCCAAAATCATCATTTGAGACATTCCAATATTCAATGTCACATAATTCCGTGTTTGTTTATTACACTAGATTTCAAAGGCTTGTTCAAATAGCCACGTTTTCACTTTTTTTACGAAAGGTCAAGAAGGAGGGGGCTGATTTAATATCCCTAGGGATAATGTTCCACAGCATGGGGGGCCACCACTGAGAAGGCCCTGTCTCTTGTCCCCGCCAGTTGCGTCCATGAAAAAGGCAGCACCAAAAGCAGGGCCTCCCCAGACAATCTTATGCTTCCTTCTGAGGTGTAGATTTCTCTCACTTCCTGTTGTCTCACTTCCATTCTTAACTAGGAATCGTTTGTAAGTCGGATGTTTGTAAGTCAGGGATTACCTGTATTCTACTCTCCACCCAACATTGTCTCATTTTTGTCATTGAAAATAATCAATTTCCAGGAACAAGTCGAGAAAAACTCCAGACACACCTAAATATTATTTTCAGGGTGGTTTCTTAACTGTTGAAATGAATGGCAATACTCTCAAGTAGGTAAGAATTATGTACTTCCTGCTGAAATCAGCATGAGCTTTTTATAGTCCACTCACCCTTAATATACAAAAAAGGGATTTTAATTTGCAGTGTCTTTTTAACAGTCTTGCCATCTCAGCCATTGAGCCAATAATTTTACATGGTGATGTCAAAAGGTTAATAACGACTTCTAGAATCTGTACCAATTTATTGGTGGTTCACAAAAGTATAATTCCAAAAGACACATAATAAATCAAGTGAAGGCCTGAAAATGACTTGTGTTTTCTACATATTTAACATATTTTATTTATACGTCAGATGTAGAAGAGATGCTTCCCTCCAATGACTCAGCTGAGCAATGAAACAAATTTTACAGACAATTGCTCACCTGGCTGGGATGGAAGAAAAAGAAAGCAGTTTTTATTTTGAAATTGAAACTAATGGCAAGGAACAATCCATCCATACTTAGATTTGGACAATTATTAAGCAACAGCGGTTAATAACTGTTAAGAATTACACAAGAGAGGAGTAATGATGGATTGATAAATAACTGGGTGAAGATGACACTGCTATAAGAACTGAAGGAAGAAATGAAAATGATTCTAGGGGGAAACATAACAAAGAAACAAGTTCTGTGGTTTTGAAGGAGAAACATGTAGTTGGAAATAAGTTCAACTGAACTTAACACTGGAGAAAGCACTAGCAAATATTGTGACCTTATTCCATCACACTGATAAATTCTCATAAGGAGCATCTAGTTCCCAACCACCATTTTTGAACAGGGAAACAAGAAAAAAAAGTGTTTTGAAGGCTTTCATGACTAGAATTACTGGGTTGCTGTGAGTTTTCCAAGCTGTATGGCCATGTTCCAGAAGCATTCTCTCCTGACATTTTGCCCACATCTATGACAGAGCTCTGAAGATGCCTGTCATAGATGTGGGTGAAATGTCAGGAGGGAATGCTTCTGGAACATGGCCATACAGCCTGGAAAAATCACAGCAACCCAAGGAAAAAAAATAATAGTGTATACATATGAACTAACAGGGTTTTCCCCTATTACTTAATAAGAAATAATACTTAACAATTACTTAATGTATGGTGTTTAAAGATTCTCAAAGATGAAAAAGAAATCTGAAGCTAGATGAAATGAGAAAAAACTGGGATTTTTCGTGAGTCAATGCAGAATAGGAGGGAGAAACTATTTTGGGGAAGAAATGGAGAAGAGAGGAGATTTTGGGAAGGAAAATAATTGGATAGTGAATAAATATGGTAGGGAATTAGTCAGGAAGCTGCTTTTTATTTAGTTAGTCCCCTTTTCAGTTGAATTTTCTAAAATTATCTGATACGAGATACCGAAGGCTTCAGGCAGGAGTTCTTCCCAATTTCTTTTAGACATGACAAGATTTAAACATATGACTTTTTTCCAATCTGTTTTATACGTTTACTTCCTTTATTTTAAAAGGAAATGAAAAAGTGGACATTAATTTTTAGAAGAGAAATACATTAAAAAAGAATTTCCTCCCAAAGAAGAATATAATTGTCACATTAGTATTTAAAAGGGGAAATTAACTGAATGGAAGGTGACAAAAATAGTTGGGAAGGGAAAACTGGGAAGGGCTATTACATCTGTAAAAAGAAAGCATATTCTCTGAAGATTTGGAGCAGTGATCTTGTTGCATAAGACTGCTGAATCAGACTAGTGTTATGTTTTGAGACTGCTGAATCAGACTAGTATTGTGTTTTCAACAGCAGCTACATAGAAACCTAGTTCTGGAAGCTCACAAAGCAGTGAATGAAGGCAATTATTTTGCCTTATTGTTCATTCCTACAGCAGGTATTTGGAAGCATACCAGTTTTACATATCAGGTTATAATACTGGGCTAGAGGACAGAAAACTCAAAGGGGGTAGTAGTTGTGCAAGAAACATCTCAAACAATTAAAGCATAAGAAGTAGAATTTACCTAGCACAATACTACATTAATTCTTAAATAGGTTTTGGGAAAAGTATAGCAGTTATTTCTTAGTTTTTTGGATTTAGTGTATTGTTTCTCTGACACTTGTTTTCTTTCCTCGTATTTATAACTGCCTCATTTTCTAACTCTTTGTTTTAAAAGGAATTCAAATTACTATCATTATTTAGATCTTATTTTGACAGTGAATCCTGTAAGCAAATTACTAATTTTTGTAAACTCTCATGTATCCTCCTCCTCCTCGATAATATACATTGTCCTATCTCTCAGTGTTTTAAAATTTTATCTTTGAATTTGGCCCTGCCCTGTGTAATTTTTTGTGTTTTAATGTTTGATTTTATATTGCTGTGTCATTTATTATATTGTTTTGCATTTTATGTATTTTATTTTCTGGTTTTGTTATGCTTTTGTGTTATATGGTGATTTCTGTACTGATGGGCGTGGTCTCAAGTAGGCCGCACCGAGCCCCCCTCGGGGAGATGGAGCGGGGTATAAATAAAGTATTATTATTATTATTATTATTATTATTATTATTATGTAAACACTGCTTTGTTTGGCTTTTTGATCTTGTTTCTTTTGCTTCTGTAAATACAGGAAATTGCTGATTAGGAAATGGGGTAAAACAGTCACTTAATACATAGCATCAGAGCAAACAATGTATCAAAAGAGCAGTTGGATTTGGTTTAGGTCTAAAACAGCACCTTTGGACTTCCATGTTTTTCTGTGACAGAATGGCAGTTAAAGTGTCCATTCAGTTCCGGCTATGCCTTTTCATGGGTAAGTAAAAGAGGAAGAAACGAAATTAATGGGATGTCTGGGAAACTATTTTAGGTCTTTTAAAACTCCAGGCACCTAGCACTCATCATAACCAAATTCCTGAGAAACTTGAAAACACTCTTAAGTAAAACATATATTATTTGTTTCCCAATACTAGCTGATCAAACTTTTCAGAATGTTTGCAGTGCGTGCTTGGAAAAGACTTTGTGCAAAGCATTTAATTCCAAAAGGTTATGAGAATTAAATTTTAATGTACAACCCCTACTAGATAATAAATTGAATTGATTAGTGAAAGGAAATTGTACCTGGTTATTACAGTGATTCCATCCAAAATTATAATGGATTCACAAATTAATATTTTATAGTTTCACATATATGGTGAATTCTTGCACTAAGCTCAGTAAGACAAACAATTTTTGTTGGAAGCAAAACAAAGCTCAGTTGGAAAATCAAGAAAGACTCAAAACTGGCAGCAGTAATACTGTTAGATAGTTGAGTGATCCAAAGTGTCCTCCCTCCTTGTCAACTCAGTCTCTGTCATGTAAACTAATACTCTCATAGATCCCCCCCCCAACTCTTTACTTCCTGTCTGTTCTATTACTCCCTAGAATATAGCTAATATATATTAGTACCCCAAGTACCTTTCCTATCTTAGAATGGAGTTCCTATAATAAAGCTTATTGTTTCTTTGAGACATTTGTATCACTGCTGCTTAATCAAGATCTCTAACTCACTGCTTCTTAAATTGTGGGTTCCAACCCCAAATGGCTCATTGTCCCATCACCATTATTCTCAATGAGTAGACATACAAGTATGTTCAAAATGAGAAAACTGATAAGTCAGTGTAACACTATATTGAACAGATGCAAGGAAATTAAATGTCAATAAGTATCATAAAACTGGTAAAAAATTTGAGCATTTGCCAAATGTAAAGGATGAGCTAAGAAATATTAAATGACAGCTGAATGAGGATCCATTGCATGCATTTTCAAATGACTATTGAAAAACTTTGAGAATTTTGTGAGTTTTCAAAGCTCAGTCTGAGAAATTGGAGCTAGATTCTGTAACATGTAAATTGACAGCAGAGGAAAATACTAAAACGGAGGGGGGAAAGCAGATACTTGTTCTACAGTATATTGAGCTCTAAGACCAAAGGCCCTCATCCTACTTTAGGAAGTCTTCTTGGATGCTAAATGTTTTTCATGTGGGAAGATAGAATATTTTCCATCTAATTGCTTAAAACAAGGCTCAAGACAGAGAGGAAAAAGGAATGTGAAGAATGCAGTCCAGGAATGTGGCCGAGACAAACTGCTGCGAGCGACACCAAGGAATCAGATGCTTGTTGTTGAGCCACAATGAACCCCTCCTCAAAGATCTATAGTTCTCCAAGGACTCTGTAGCAAATACATTTTATTATTTTAAAAAATATTTTTGAACTTTTGCAAGTTTGAAGCATTGGGGATTAGGACCAGACTGGCAGCAGCTTCACCCATGTCCCAAGACTTTACTGTTTATAATCCTTTAATAAATTGTATCTGCTTTCCCTAACTTTCATACACTCTCTCTCCTTCCCCCATCACATGGGGGCATTGAGGCAAGGCGCGTTGGCGCCCTGTCCCTGCCCCCATCAGATGGTGGGAAAAGGCCAAAAATGTGGGTAGCTCCAATGGATGTCTTGCCTCCCAATGTTAACAAGGAAACGTCTTGCGACGCTTATTCGCCACTTTGGTTATCAATGTGGCAGGGCCATGGCCAGTTTCATGTGATGTCACTCAGCAGTCCCTGTCCCCAAAGAGGAGCAAAGACGTCCAAAACCCCAGTGTGACGAGGTGGAAGGTGTAGCCCAGAGACAGTCACCTTTCCATAATCCAGCAGAAAAAAGAAGGTTGGGTGAATCCCTTTGGCTGTTTCCCAAGCCAGGTAATCATCAAAATCCATTGTTCATATATATGCAGATATAGTTTCCCATGTCATCCCAGAATTGTTTGTCTAGTTAAATGGTCCACTTGAGGCTGAGAGATTGCTGTCTGCAGAAGCAGAAGCTCAGAATATGTACCTCTGTTAAATCTCTTTATTGACAGCCCTGCCCTTGATGGCCCAAGATCATAACCTTTTGTTATAGGAGCCTTGCGCCCTTGTATTCTGGAGCTCCTGTCTTTGTCAAATACAAGACAGTTGATCTAACCGGAAGGTCATTATCACTTCTTTAATACTGTTTTTGCAAGTGGAACCTCCTCCCAGGGGGGCGCCCCAGCAGTTGATTGGTTCCCTAGCCAGCCAATCCCTAGCTGTCATTTCCCTGCAAAAGGAAATCCTTGATTGGAAGCAGCAATGTCAGTGGAACTCCTGGCCAATCAGGGAGCAGATCCTTCTTTCAACCAATCAGGGAAGGGATTGGGAGTTTGGAATAGATGTCAACCTGTATAAGACATAATGCTTTCTCTGTATGTTTTGCTTGTACATTTTGAAGCATCCACTTGTACTTTCATCCCTTTCAGCTGAATTGAACAAACCTCTGTGGCTTGTCTTCAACTTGTGGCTTGTATTCAACTTCTGTGGCTTGTCATGGCCCATTCAGTTTAGCATGCACTTGCTGGGCATGGATGCTTTTATCCACGGTCCTAGCTTATCCATTTAATGTTGATGACTATTTTTATGGAAAATCTTTTGGAGTTGAAAAGTTGGCTTTGCAAGTTACATACTCAAATAAAACATTAATATATTTTTTATTCTAATGCAACATCCCATATGTGCTGAGGTAAATCTTTTTCACAATATTGGGTGAAAATATCAAGGATGATGTGCATGGAATAGGAATAATGAGGTATCAATCTCAAGGACTACGGACTATTATTCTGTTCTGCAAAACCCCATTGGGCAGCATGAAGCAAATAACTCTTAGTAATGTCTTATATGTGCCAAACTGGGGGTCTAACCTAACATCCATTACAGCTCCAAAAGAGGGACTGTGAAGTTAATTTTAAAGGGAAAACTCTGCATTATGTATTCCTGTGGAGATGGTATAGTGAAGGCAACTGCAATTGAAGATCAGCATGTTGTTGACTGCAAAATGGAATTTTCTATCAGCAACAAATGGATCTTCAGCTGCAGTTCTTCCATTATACTATTCTCCCCTATAAGATGTAAAAAAAAAATAAAATAAAAATTTATGTTGATGATGTGACCATTTGTTGTGAGGAAAAAGAAGACAGCAATGAAATTCTAGAACATTAAAGCAAGGAAGTAGACATGAAATAACTAGATGTCACATTATTTTGAAATACAGGCCAAAAAAGAAGGAAGTGGACGTTATCTTTTAATTAAATGCAAAATATAATAGAACTACCGAAGCATGCTGACAACATCCAGTTAACACTCTTACTGCAATCAATTACTGGAAGAATATTACAGAAAGTGAAGTATTTCCAAACAACAGCCAATACAAAGAAGCCATTGGGAAACTTCTGAATTTAACCTAAGTGACAAGTCTACACATATCAACAGATGTTTAGATTTTGTTCAGAAGGACCAACTCACTAACTGGAATGCAGTAAAGAGAGTAGCCTAATCCCTGAAGGGAATTGCATACCTGAAACTTTGATTGCAACCAACTAGCAACCTATATCCATGTGAAATGTAAATGCAGATTGGGCCAATTTGTTGGTGATGATATTATTATTATTTCTTACCTGCCTTTCCTTGTAGCTGATACTTATTATTTTATGGAGATGGAAGCATATAAAGAATTAAATGGTTTCACATGTTACTGTTAGGCTTTATAACTAAAGCAAACCAATGAGAACACATGAAAGTCCAAGCAAATTAGGAAACAAAGCTTCAGTGCACACACTCTACCAATTGGGAATATTAACTGAACTGTGCTCTGAGAATAGAATGTAAAATGCTTGGCCCGTCACTGAATAAAAATTAGTTTTATGACTAAGGCTGCAACCCGACTCACATAATATTTATATTTTATATTGTGAATAATGCCTTTGAAAAATATTGCCATTATAATTTATAATTAACAACTTGGTTAATGTACATGATCAATCATGTATTAAATTTTTAAAGTAGAAAACCCTATTGCAGCACCATTACCTGTAAAAGCTTCTACTTTCATGGGGATTTGTGTAGCCTGAAATTATTACATCAAGCTGTTCTCCTCGTTTCTTTTTCTTGCCCCATTTTCTTTTTGGTTTTGGCTGAAATAAAATATAGGCTTGGTTAAATCCTTAGTAGCATTGGAGAAAGCAATAAAAATGAATTAGTAATGAGCAGGGAAATTACCTGGTCAAAGAAATATATAGGCCCTTGTTCCAGAGTCTCTGCCATTCTTCTCTGTAAAAGTCTGCATTCATCATGATAAAATATTATGAACATGAGAGATAAAATGTTTTCATATTTGTGAACTTTAAGCAAGGCTGATTAGGTGCAACTGTATCTAATGAAAACCATAGACATATCACTATGTCCTTGCCATACCCCTTCCACACAGATGAATAAAATCTCACGTTATCTGCTTTGAACTGGAATATATGGCAGTGTGGACTCAGATAACCCAGTTCAAAGCAGATATTGTAGGATTTTCTGCCTTGATTTGTTTGGGTTATATGGCTGTGTGGAAGGGCCTCCAGTGTTTTATTGCCTCAGTGCTCTTCTACACAGCCCTATATCCAGGGGCGGCTCAACCCATTACACAAAGTAAGCATTTGCAGTATAGTTGATTTTGCCCAGGGGCGCTCTTGAGGTGCTCTTGGGGGAAAATAGACCTTGACATTTGCAAGTTGTAGTTACTGAGATGTATAGTTCACCTACAATCAAAGAGCATTCTGAACTCTACCAATGATGGAATTGAACCAAATATGGCACACATAACTCCCACGACGAACAGAAAATATACATCAGTGATTGGTTGGGGCGGGTAAAATACTGTTTGCTTACCGTTGAAAATTACCTAGGGCCAACTCTGCCTATATCCCAGAATATCAAGGCAGAAAATCACACATTATCTGCTTTGAATTGGGTTATCTGAGTCCACACTACCACATATTCCAGTTCAAAGCAGATACTGTGAGATTTTATTCAGCTGTGTGGAAGGGACCCCAGAATATCAAGGCAGAAAATCCCACAACATCTGCTTCGAACTGGGTTAGCTGAGTCCACACTCAGATAATGTGGGATTTTCTGTCTTGATATTCTGGGATATAGGGCTGTGTGGAAGAGACCTAATAAGTCAAAGGTTTGCATAGGATTTGCAAATACAATTTGACCCCATCATGCATGGATTCTATTCATACTAGAGTTTCAATTTCAAATTAATTTCCCAGCCAAATCACCTACTCAAATTCTTAACAAGCCATATTCCAGATTATCCAAATAATGTGTTGCTCAATTAAATTCAATATAGCATACTCTCTGGAAAGGTAGGTATAACTCCAACTTCTACTAGATTTCTTCTTAACACCTACAACCATTCAAGAAATGAAGCAAATAAAAACTCCTTGCAGTGCCTCTTTTAATCATGTTAACTGTTTAGGCCACCGTCTCCCTCCTGCTTTCCACCACTGTTTTATTTAACATCCAGTATGGGGGAAAAATCTGTCAAATTCAAAATTTGTTAACAGTTTTGCCTTCTCCTTTAAAAATGTGGCACTGCATTGTTTGTTATTCTAAAATTCTTCTGAATTAAGCATTATAATTGTAGTTTACAAAAGCTAGTAACAAATATGCATCCTAACTTTAATTTCTTAATGTCAGAAATAGTACAAAATATTTAAGCCCCAAAATTATTTAACTTAAAGAATGTGTTGTCTGATCATGGCCGTTTTTATATTTGCCAAATCGGATTACCTATACTGTTTATTCTTGCACACAGATCTATAGCAATCTTGTTTCAGTTTGAAAACTTACCATTAATGCTATACATCTACAAAAATGGAAACAGACCATTATGAAGAACTTAACAAAAACAGTATCTTCCTCTGCAATCTCTTCTTTACGCTGCTATAAATAATTCACTTCTGTATATCCGGGCTATCTGCTTCACAGAAAAGATATTTGATTCTGTCTTCTCAAATCTCCCTTGCTAATTATGATTCTGTAGTAGAGACTAGAGCAAAGGCATAATGTCATACATACCGATACAGGTTTTTCCCAAACTTGCTTGGTCGCAAATGCGAAATTGTTTGTGTAAAAGTTGCTTTTTCCAGGGAAGTGAAAAGTTATTGAATCCCTGTGAAGGCAGCCAGTCGATCAACACAGTGTTTTAAAGGGCTGTTGCTTGGTAACCTTTCGTTGTGGATTGCACTCAACCTTGGTCTCTTTCTTCAGCCATGTTTCAGGTCTTCAAAGAAGTTTTAAAGAATGCATGCTACAATTCTTTGCAGTCTTATGTAAAAAAATCCCATTGGGCTCTGAACATTGAACATTTTTTAGAAACATGTTCAAATTAAACATAATGTTGGCTATTAAAAAGAAAATGAAAGAAAGAAAGGCAGGAAATCTTGTGGCACCCTTAAAACTAACTAATCAGAAACACATGTAATAATAATAAATAATATTAAAATGTTATTTATATCCCACTACCATCTCCCCAAAGGGACTCAGGGAGTAGATTAGAATCCATTTCTTCAAATGCACCAAAGGAGTACAATCTTAGAATCTCAGGTAACAAGATACAGGTACATAGTTGTGTAGATGAGATTAGATTGAAACTGGATATAAAAAGAGGGAATTTTTGTGACAGTAGCCAGAAACCTTCCAAGACCTTAACACAAATATTCTGGCATCTGCTCAGTATGGTAATAAATCGTTTCATAAACATTTCTGTGTTATCATAATCACTTATAATCACTGACCCATTCTGACAAGTATAACCTTAATGAAATGAAAAAGGAATTAAATTTTGATACCTACCATAATTGAGGCCCCATCTACACTGCCATATGATGCAGTTTGAAACTGTATGATGTCATCAATATAGACTCAAATAATGCCCTTAAACTGCATTCTAAGAGTCTACACTGATCATATCACGCAGTCTGAAAATGCATTATATGGCAGTGTGGATGGTGCCTTAGTGGATATATTCAATTTTCTGAATCAGCACCCCACATAACCAAATTTAAAGTTGACCAAAAATTGATTCGTAACCCTTTTGGTACTGGGTTGTTGTAGGTTTTTTTGGGCTATATGTCCATATTCTAGAGGCATTCTTTCCTGACATTTTGCCTGCATCTATGGCAAGCATCCTCAGAGGTAGTGAGGTCCTCAGAGGTAGTGAGGTCAGACCTCACTACCTCTGAGGATGCTTGCCATAGATGCAGGTGAAACGTCAGGAGAGAATGCCTCTAGAACATGGCCATACAGCCTGAAAAAACCTATAACAACCCAATTAGTATAATGTTTAATGTCTTTAATGTTCTTAAAATGGATAGTTTTGATATTGTAAAATGTTTTAAATGCAACACTGACAATAGTAATTGAAAGTTGGTACTAATGTTGGAAAGTAGTGCCAGGTCAAAAAACCTCTTGGTCAAAAAGAGGTTGGGAACTACTGATTTAAGGGGACAGAAACAAATAATTTTGTATTTAGTATTTTTAAAATAAGAATAAATCATTTCTAGAGATATTACTACTTATTACTCATCTATATGAACTATATAGCCTGAAACATCAATCCACTAAAAGAATTGCCCAGGAAAAAGTAACCCACCCAACCCTTTCCAGAGAGTACAATCAGCTATATAGTTTTATTTTCATGAATCACATATACTGATCAATAAAGAAGAATATAGAATTTCTATCTCTTCCCCAAAGTAATTATTTTGCTTCAGTTGGCCATGGCTCAATTTATTTCCCTGGATGGTGACTTGTGAGCATTAATTTTTCTGTGGACACATAGCATATTTCTGGCTTGAGAATGCTAGGTAGGACTTTTGGTCACAATGCTATTAATTTTATTAAAATGCTATGTTATTAAAATTATTTCATAAGTCACTCTCCCAATCCAACTCTAATCATCCATGTTATTCATGAATATTAACTCAGTTGAATATCCACTCCTTCACTTATATCAATAGATGTGTTTATCTGTTATATTAAATAAAGATCATATGAGTAACAAGCTATGGATGTGTGTCCATTGTTGGATGAGGAAATTTATATAAAACTCGAGGTTATTGTACTGAAATAATGTTTTCTTTCTTAATCTGCTCCTTATAGCACCTCAGACCTGCCCTTCCAAAATTATTAATGAAAGAGATATATACCCTTCCATTAGATCTTTTCGGCTGGCAAAACATATTACACTTTGAATCTAATCCATTAACTCCAAGCAATATAAAACAGTAATATCTAATGAAGGTCCTATAAGATAGGAATGACTGAAGCTGCTAATGCCGTGGATGGTCTGCATTGCTAACTATACTTTCCCAAAACATTCTGGTAAGTAACATGTTGTAGTATTTTTTTTTGGTGTAACCCAGACTTAGTCCTAAATAATCCCACTGAAATTAATGGGATTGAAGTATGTGCCAGCAGGCACAGGAGGAAATTTATGAAATATTTTTGAGGTGGGGGAAAGAATTCTCAAGGTGTTTGTAGATTAATGGGAGCCGCTGGTGGTGGATTAAACTGCTGAGCTGCTGAACTTGCTGACCGAAAGATTGGTGGTTCAAATCCAGGGAGTGGGATGAGTTCCTGTTAGCCCCAGCTTCTGCCAGCCTAGCAGTTCAAAAACATGCAAATGTGAGTAGATCAATAGATACTGCTCTGGTGGGAAGGTAACAGCGCTCCAGGCAGTCATGCCTGCCACCTGACCTTGGAGGTGTCTACAGACAACGCTGGCTCTTCGGCTTAGAAATGGAGATGAGCACCAACCCCCAGAGTCAGACACGACTGGAGTTAATGTCGGGGGAAAACCTTTTCCTTTACCTTTAGATTAATATTTGAAATAAATGTGGTAAGCCTTCTTACAATTTATAGCTCAATCCTATCCCTGTTTTATGTGCTGTAATGATCTGAGTGCTGGACTATGTCTTTGAATCTCAGTGTTTGAATCTCCACTCAGCCATGAAAACTCATTGGGGGAGCTTGGGCAAGCCACACTCTCTCAGCCTCAGAAGGCAAATCTTCTGAACAAATCTTGCTAAGAAGACCCTGTCATAGGTTCACCTTAGATCTGCCCTAAATAAAAAAAAATGACTGGAAAGCACACAACAAATACATATAGCTTCAAATGCACCCCCAAATTTATTTATTTAAATTTATTTCAAACATTTCTATCTTGTCCTTCTCAACCCCCGAGGGTTGATTATGTTAATAGCACTGCAGCTCAACAAATTATGACACAAGTTTCTTATAAACATCTGGGAGACTACAGTTAGCAAAAACCTACCTATAAGCTATACAATGAAAAACTATAGCAAAACGGGCTTCTGGAAGCCCAATAAACTTTCTCTGTGTTTTTATGATAGAACCAATTAGGAAATGCCATTTAAAACCCACGAACAAAAATCGTGTTACATAGTGTAATTCACACATACTGTAGTGCCAAAACCATGGAACCTATAAACTTGACATTCATGCTAAGAGAAATCCAGAGTAAATACAGTATTGTATTCCAATCCGGTACCATGGCTATAATTGTTTAACAATCCCTAGGCAACAAAAAGTATGTTGTTACTGGAGAAGGGATTCTTAAACTTTGGTCCTATTGGTGTTTTCAACTTCAGCTTCCAGAAGTCCTGGCTGTTGCCCAACTATTCTGGGAGCTGAAGCCCAGAAACCTGGAGAACCCAATGAACTACTACCTCTCAGAATATGCATCTACACCATAGAATGAATGTAGTTTGACACCAACCACTTTAACTGCCATGGCTCAAGGCTATGAAAAACTGGGGGCCCTTCCACACAGCCTTATATCCCAGAATATCAAGGCAGAAAATCCCACAACTGGGATTGAACTCGATTATCTGAGTCCACACTCAGATAATGTGGAATTTTCTGCCTTGATATTCTGGGATATAGGGTTGTATGGAAGGGCCCTGGGAGTTGTAGTTTGGCAAGGCATTGGCACTACTGGGTGAGGGAGATGCAGTTTTTGTCAAACAATAAAACCCATGATACCATAGCATTGAGCTGTGGCAGTTAAAGCTATATCAAATTTCACTGATCCTACAGTGTAGACTAGGCATGGGCCAACTTCGGCCCTCCAGATATTTTGGACTCCAACTCCCACAATTCCTAACAGCCGGTAGGAATTAACAGGCCCTCTCCTCAACACCATCCACTGCTCTGAGGCGTGAAGAGGGGTCAGCCAGAAAGACACAGCGCCATCATGTCTCCTGCAACATCACTTGGGAGCCCCTCAATATATAAATATAATAATATAAAGAAATAATAACACTGTAATGTAATAACACTATTTTGTTGTTGTTCATTCGTTCAGTCGTCTCCGACTCTTCGTGACCTCATGGACCAGCCCACGCCAGAGCTCCCTGTCGGCCGTCACCACCCCCAGCTCCTTCAAGGTCAGTCCAGTCACTTCAAGGATGCCATCCATCCATCTTACCCTTGGTCGGCCCCTCTTCCTTTTGCCTTCCACTTTCCCCAGCATAATTGTCTTCTCTAGGCTTTGCTCTCTCCTCATGATGTGGCCAAAGTACTTCAACTTTGTATCTAGTATCCTTCCCTCCAATGAGCAGTCGGGCTTTATTTCTTGGAGGATGGACTGGTTGGATCTTCTCGCAGTCCAAGGCACTCTCAGAACTTTCCTCCAACACCACAGCTCAAAAGCATCTATCTTCCTTCGCTCAGCCTTCCCTAAGGTCCAGCTCTCACATCCGTAGGTGACTACAGGGAATACCATGGCTTTGACTAGGCGGATCTTTGTTGCCAGTCTGATGTCTCTACTCTTTACTATTTTATCGAGACTGGACATTGCTCTCCTCCCTAGAAGTAAGCATCTTCTGATTTCCTGGCCACAGTCTGCATCTGCAGTAATTTTTGCGCCTAGAAATACAAAG